CTATTTGTGACGCTTGACGGTCTTCAAGTCCTGCCTCTCCCATCTCCTCATTGGTTTTTAGGAGCATATACCCACGTGGGTGATTGAAAGTTGAAATGAGGTCTACTCTCCAGTCGGTAGTGGTAATGCAACATAAAGTTGGTTGCCAACCTCCATATAAAGTACAAAGAAGAAGAAGCCAGAAGGAGGAGAGATTATTAGAAACTAACTTGGTTTGACCTTTTATCTGTGGATTAATTGTCAGAGTAGAGGACCTTGTGCATTTCAGGTAAAATAACAACCCAATGTTTATATCCCAGGACAAATTAGCTAGCTAAATTGCCATGCATAAATGTTTTATGCTTTTCGAACTGTCCCCAAATTAATATAGTTGGTTCAGTTCATTTTGATATTTCAACCTGCGTGTACTGATCGCGTCTGGTGTGGGTTGACAAAATAAACATTTGCGCGATGGCACGCGCGCCCGGTGTAGTCAGCATGTTACTTTCCTTGCTAGCTTACAGCTGAAGCTAACGTCAATTCACTACCCAATTACCTTGTTTGTGATAACATGCTAAGTAAAATATTGCTGATTTCAAAGCTGATTGACACCAAAAACATTATTCATTCACTTAGTCTCCTCCGCCTCACGTCTCTTCCAGTCAAGATCCTCTTTGCTCGAGCCTCAAACTTACCACTGTGTGAATGATGTCATAGGTCTTAAAAGAGACAGGCACACTTACAGTGGCTTGTGAAAGTATTCACCCCCCCTTGGCATTTTTCCTATTTTCTTGCCTTACAACCTGGAATTAAAATTTGAGATTTTGGGGGGGTTTGTATAATTTGATTTACACAACATGCCTACCACTTTGAAGATGCAAAATATTTTTTCTTGTGAAACAAACAAGAAATAAGACAGAACTTGAGTGTGCATAACTATTCACCCCTCCAAAGTCAATACTTTGTAGAGCCACCTTTTGCAGCAATTACAGCTGCTAGTCTCTTGGGGTATGTCTCTATAAGCTTGGCACATCTAGCCACTGGGATTTTTGCCCAATCTTCAAGGCAAAACTGCTCCAGCTGCTTCAAGTTGGATTGGTTCCGCTGGTGTACAGCAATCTTTAAGTCATACCACAAATTCTCAATTTGATTGAGGTCTGGGCTTTGACAAGGCCATTCCAAGACATTTAAATGTTTCCCCTTAAACCACTCGAGTGTTGCTTTAGCAGTATGCTTAGGTTCATTGTCCTGCTGGAAGGTGAACCTCCGTTCCAGTCTCAAATCTCTGGAAGACTGAAACAGGTTTCCCTCAAGAATTTTCCTGTATTTAGCGCCATCCATCAATTTTGACCAGTTTCCCAGTCCCTGCCAATGAAAAACATCCCCACAGGGATGGTGTTCTCGGCGTGATGAGAGGTGTTGGGTTTGCGCCAGACATAGCGTATTCCTTGATGGCCAAATAGTTCAATTTTAGTCTCATCTGACCAGAGTACCTTCTTCCATATGTTTGGGGAGTCTCCCACATGCCTTTTAGCGAACACCAAACGTGTTTGCTTATTGTTTTTTTTAAGCAATGGCTTTTTTTCTGGACACTCTTCCGTAAAGCCCAGCTCTGTGGAGTGTATGGCTTAAAGTGGTCCTATGGACAGATACTCCAATCTCCGTTGTGGCGCTTTCCAGCTCCTTCAGGGTTATCTTTGGTCTCTTTGTTGCCTCTGATTAATGCCCTCCTTGCCTGGTCCGTGAGTTTTGGTGGGCGGCCCTCTCTTGGCAGGTTTGTTGTGGTGCCATATTCTTTCCATTTTTTAATAATGGGTTTAATGGTGCTCCGTGGGATGTTCAAAGTTTCTGATATTTTTTTATAACCCAACCCTGATCTGTACTTCTCCACAACTTTGTCCCTGACCTGTTTGGAGAGCTCCTTGGTCTTCATGGCGCCCCTTGCTTAGTGGTGTTGCAGACTCTGGGGCCTTTCAGAACAGGTGTATATATGCTGAGATCATGTGACAGATCACGTGACACTTAAATAAAGTCCACCTGTGTGCAATCTAACTAATTATGTGACTTCTGAAGGTAATTGGTTGCACCAGATCTTATTTAGGGGCTTCATAGCAAAGGGGGTGAATACATATGCACGCACCACTTTTCCGTTATTTTTGTTTTAGAATTTTTGGAAACAACTTATTTTTTTCATTTCACTTCACCAATTTAGACTATTTTGTGTATGTCCATTACATTAAATCCAAATAAAAATCAATTTGAATTACAGGTTGTAATGCAACAAAATAGGAAAAACGCCAAGGGGGATTAATAATTTTGCAAGGCACTGTATACAAGAGATTGCTTCTTCTATGCAAATGTTGTTGAACAGTACAATAAAATAAGTCCCAAATGGAAGGGAAACAAATTGTTTTTCATCTGTAGCCTCATGAAAACAAGCTCAATAACTCAATGCATGCACACACTCCTATTAAATATTTATTCACCTGTATTGTTAACAGGTCATCTTGATTGACCTAGTTTATCAATAGACTAGATATTTACCATTTAAATAAATGATTACCATTATGTTATGTAGTTAGATATTTTTTTTTACCAAAGTCAAATTGATTGTATGATTGCATAATTGATTCATACATTCAAAAATAAAACACGTAAAATGTAATGATATTGAACTCAAAAGATCTGTCTGGATCAAGTGCCTTTGATCCAGTGACTTTGGCTAATACACCTTTTTTTGCCCTCGTATCGTTTTGGTATCGAGTATTGTTATACTAAACCTGGTATCGGTACCGAAGTCAAAATCCAGGTACCGTGACAATACTAACACAAGCAAGACAACAACAGACATTCTAACAACACATTTAAAAGGGTCTGCATTAGGGCTGTCCCCGACTAAAAAAAATATATTGGTCGACCAAGAGTCTTCTGTTCTTTCGACCAATTGATTGGTCAATTTTAAAACGTGTATTTTTCTATATATTGACACATCCTATGTGTTTTAATCAAATCAACTCTATGCACTGAGCTTGTCTGATGGTTTAAGCGAACTGTTTGATGAAATAATTAAGACACAAATGACTAGAGGGAGTCTGACCGCAATTGATTTGATTGTGCCACCTGGCTCAGACTTGCTGCGCTGTTTAAAAAAAATTAACGACAGCGAGTGACTGTGTGACTAGGACCCGTTGTCTCGCTCTCTTCCCTGCTGAAGCGACCACCACAGAACATCAGTGTGTATAGCGCTGTCCATGTTGCCGAAGCTGAAACATAATTACAGCCATTTCTGACTGAAAAGTTCTGTTACCGAAATCCCTAATTTGTTTCGGAAAAACATTCCCTATTCCCTCAACCCGTGCTCTCTTTACTTGACATGTATGTGTCGGATGCACTTGACCAATAGGGCCTGACCTATAGCATATCATAATCACATCAATAAATTGGATATAACAAACTCTGAACACCATAACACGTGACAGCAAAATGGATGCAGAGGAAGTGACAAATAAACTCGAAGCGGGGAAATATTTACTGGTTGTGTAGGAGGTAAAGGGGAACTTGGATGTGTGGAATAATTTTGACTAGTTGTGGAAAATACTGGAGATGAAGAAAAAGAAGGTATGGAGCTAAACAGGTACTGTTAGATTACAATGTAATTTATCGGACCGTTTGGAACAATGTAAACACTAAATACAGCATACCAGAGAGTATTTTTTTGTAAAGCCTTTATTACAGCAAAGACTAAAAACATTCACATTCATTCGTGAACGCAATTTCCGAAATGGAACGGGTTAGGCCTAATTATTGTTTAAGCTAATTATTCAAAATGGTATACAAATGAAATTGTTCCTTTCAAGACAAGCCTATTTCCTGTGGAGAAGATGGTTCCTGAAATGAGAGGTATACTCTCAGTCTTAGCGATTGATAATGTTAAATCTAAAGGACCAATAAGTTGTCAGGATCAGAGCTTCTCCGCCCTGATGATCGTTTCGGTCAGTCAAAATTATCCATCGTTCATTGGTTAGGTAGGTCACGTTCATTAGGAGGCGTGGATTTGAAACAAATCACAACAACGGCTAGTTACTTTGCGCATACAACGGCATTATTGAGTTGAGCATTGAAGAAATGTTTAACCAAATATAGTTTGTTTGTAAACTATATAACTCGGGTGACACTGAAACTGTCAGTGTCCTCAACTTTACAGCCTAGTAAGAACAGAAGTTGTTTCACATAAGCTAGCTACTGTTAGTTCGCTGGCCACATCCTAACGACTGATATCCGTGAAGTGAATAACTACATCAATTCTGATGTTATTTTTAGTATTATGATATCTTACCAAGTCATTTAGACGAAGAAATCAGCTTGTCGAACTTGTTTTTCAACTGTTTATCTGGTCAGAGAAGGTAGGAAGCGGCTACTCGAGCGAAAATGCGCGCGCTCGCATCCATCTTCTTCTTTGGGGTTATTGGCGAACTACACGCAAAAGGTGTATTTTCACCACGAACTGGACAGGGGTGAAACAATTCACTAAAATATAATAATAATAATATGCCATTTAGCAGACGCTTTTATCCAAAGCGACTTACAGTCATGTGTGCATACATTTTTACATATGGGTGGTCCCGGGGATCGAACCCACTACCCTAAAGAAAAGTTAATAACACCACGTGGAAGAGAAATGTAACATTCATCCACATAAACTACGAAAGATAATATATAGATATATAAATATATTATTCAGTCATTCGAAACCTCAAACCCCCTGTTCAGGCTATGGGGCCTGATATGGTGGGACCACACGAGTCAGTAATCCATGTAGCACCTCAAATGTTAATCTGATGTTAATCCCAGAAATAGTTAAATTGCAGAAATGTCATTATAATATTTATTGATTTATTTTTCAATTTGCGCAGTGCCGTAACCACCATTGCTATAAAAGCGACAGTCGCGCTCTCATCCAAAATCAGTGCACCCTCTCAACATTACGTACCACCGCACGCGATACGTACCACCGCACGCGATGGGGATCCGCTAACAAACTTTTTCAGCCAATGAGAAAGTAGTGGAGCCTACCCTGCCCACGCTCTTTTCATCCTTTCTTGATACGTTTTGATTTTATTTCATTCTGCATGGAGAACAGTGACCTATAAGTTTGCATTTGTTTATAATAATTTATTCGAGGTGAGTTTTGCTGGACAAGGTATGACGTTCAAACGCATTGATAGAGAGAAATGCTTAGATCTTTTCATCACCAGTTGTGGTGGTGGTCGGGCTTGCACGGCATTCATTTGGCAACAATACACAGCACTCTGCTAGGTTCTTTTAAGTCCTTTATCTAGCTAAGCTAGTGTGGTGGGTTGAATGTGAATTTTGCTATTCTAAATAGCAGCCTAATGTAGGCTACTACAGTACTGTAAACCAATGCATGCTTGTTTTTGCTGGCAACACACTCTTTACTGCACAGACTGTTGTGGTCATGTATACCAGCTGATCAACAGTCTTTGAATAACATGCATCCTTTGATGAAGTACTGTAGTTTCTCGTCATCCTGTTATGATAGAAGCATCTGGGTGTTAAAAATGTATCTCTATTGCATTTCTAGCTTTTGTTTATTTTATATCTCAACCTACAGTTCGCGCTAGTTTAGAGCTAGCTATTAGTATGCATGACATGTTGCTAAATTTAGGATGCAAAAGTAGAAAAGGTTCCAAGATGATCTTGAGCTCAGAGGTATCTTTAGGTGTATTGAAAGCAAGTAAGTAAATCTTATATTATTTCACAGTTGTCCAAAGCAAAGAGCCATGGTTCAATCCAAGACCTGGGTCCTTGCCCGTCACTTTGAAGGCTTCCCGAAGAACAGCAACTTTGAGCTGAAGCTGGAGCAGCTGCCAGAGCCTAAAGATGGAGGTAACAAACTAACAACTGTGGAGATGAGCTCATCACATTGACTTAGATCATCTGGACCAGTACTTGCACTGAGTACAAGATTCCTGTACCTGACTGAAGCCAATATGAGTGAAGCCATACATTTGAATGTTGTTGTTGTTTTGTCTGTTTCAGAGGTGCTTCTCGAGGCACTGTTTCTCAGTGTGGATCCATACATGAGGTAGGGGAGAAAAGTCTGAAAGAAAAAAGGGACAGGGTTGGATTCCCCTAACATTTGCCATTTAGGTCATGTCTCATGTGATGTCTATAAGGAATATGATATGTTATTATTCATGAAGTTCACTGAACAGCTTTTACTCTGCTAATCCACAGTTCTTCAGTAGATTTCAGTACAGAAAACATCTCATCTGATTGTTCTTCTGTGGTTGTTTCCAGACCGTTCAGCCGACTGCGTATGAAGGAGGGGGGAGTAATGATCGGAACTCAAGTGGCCAAGTAAGAAAAATAAACGAAGCTGCATCCAAATGGCACCCTATTGCCTACATAGTGCACTAGTGGGTCCTGGTCAAAAGCAGTGCACTGTGTAGGGAATACGTTGCCATTTGGGATGCAGACCCAAGTTAACTGCCTTTCATCTAACATGAGGGGACATGCCTGCCGTTTACTGGAAGAGAATGGGTCCTGCACCTGTTATTCATTTCTAAGGCAGTAGATTATCATTCGTGACTGCAGTTGTAAGAGAACAAATTGAATGCACTTGGCAGTGTGTTCAGAGGTTCCGAAGTTCCGTTCCTGCCACAAGTGAATGGTTCAATGTGTTTTCACAGACAAAGTTTGTTATTCAGAGTGAGTCTGTCTGGATAAATACACAGAACCTAATGACTCTTCCCTGCATTCATTCTCTCCCCAGGGCTTTTTAAATGATTTTACTGAGTTTAATTGCTTGAATACTGTCATTAAAGTGACTGTACTGGGACCCCCTGTATATAGACTCCCTACTGTTATTTTATTTTACTGCTGCTCTTTAATTATTTTGTAATTGTTAATTTTTGTACCTATCTATTTCTTTACTTAACACTTATTTTTCTTAAAACTGCATTGTTGGTTAAAGGCTTGTGAGTAAGCATTTCACTGTAATATCTACACCTGTTGTATTCGCCGCATGTGGCAAATCAAATTTGATTTGATTTGAAGTATCTTTGTGAATGTGTGCAGATTTTCTGGGAATTCCCAAAGGCTTCCATTGACATTTCATATGTATTCAATTTAGCCTTAAGATAAACAATTTAGCAACCACTGAGGGTGGTTCTCATAGTCCCCAGATTAATTATTCTCAGTGACTAGAAACACTTTCAATGGGAGATTCTTCATTGAGCGTTCTTTACGGTCTGTCTTCTGACACAGGCTTGTTATCAACACTCTCTTTAACTATGATCAACTACCCTCGTTAATTCAGTTTGTTTATTTGTTTGTGCGTGTGGTTTTCTAGGGTGATCCAGAGCAACAACTCAGCCTTCCCAATTGGGTGCCATGTGGTTGGTAGATGCGGCTGGAGGACCCACACTGTATCTGATGGGACAGGCCTGGCACGCCTTCTGTCTGACTGGCCACAGGAGGTCCCCATGTCCCTGGCTCTGGGGGCCATCGGCATGCCTGGGTAATGAATGGGGGACTTCTATTTTTGGGTAAAAGTCTCTGAAATCCCGGACCGAGGGCAACAGCACTCGTACAGTATGTCAGAACATTGTTAATGTGGGAGGCAACCCGTCTGCCTAGGGAGAATAGTAAAAAAAACAAGAGTCACTATGGCGTGAATCACCACTAGCCACAAAGTGTAAAACATTTATGTTTTCAGGCCAGAAGAAGCGCCGTTGTCTTGCCTGGGTAAGGAGAGATGCTAACAGTTACTTCTACCAGCTAATTGTTGGAGGGAGTGTGGGAGAATGTGCAGCACAGCTGTTTCATGACAGATTAAATGTTGACCTCAAGTCTGCCAGGAAAAGCAGCGGTATGTTTTTCTTTGAGTTTGATAAAACAAAGATTTGGGCAACAGATGTCTCCGGTCACCATCTATGTTCCTGTTCAGCTTTTCCACTGAACTCTTTAAACAGTTTGAATGAGTCACAATTCAGATGAACATGCATCTGATGCTAGTGCTTGTGTTTTTAAGTATTTAAAAATGACTGTATTCAATGGCCGTCATTGTAAATAAGAATTTGTTCTTAACTGACTTGCCTAATTAAATAAAGGTTAAATATATATTTTTTAAATAATAATAAATAAATAAAAGTGTTATATTCTATTCCCTTGTACTCTGACTGCAGGTTAACAGCCCTGTACGGTCTGGAGGAGGTGCTGGGTCTGCAGGCTGGAGACACCCTCCTGGTGAACGCTGCAGCTGGGGCCGTGGGCTCCACTGTGGGCCAGATCGCTAAGATCAAGGGCTGCAGGGTGGTTGGCTCCACCGGCTCTGACGCCAAGGTAAGAATGAAAAAGGGAAAATGCAGTGGTCATAATCTTTCTTTGCCTTTATCCTTTGATTAAAAAAGGGGGCAGCACTTGATGAAATTAAACTGTTTAATTTAATTTTCCTTAACTTTTTGGTTAATTGATTGTATTTTTCTATTTTCCTACTCCAAGGTGGCCTTCCTCAAGGAGCTGGGCTTCGATGAGGCCTTCAACTATAAAACAGTCAGCTCTCTGGAGGAGGCCCTGAAGACTGCCTCGCCTGACGGATACCACTGCTTCTTTGAGAACGTAGGTTATATAGTAATTATAAAGTATTTGGTTGTAGTAAAGTATTTATATAAAGTGTTATTAAGTAGTTATATAAAAATACTGATACTTGTAATATTGTTAGATATTTTAATTTTTTTACATTTTAGCAGACGCTCTTATCCAGAGCGACTTACAGGAGCAAGGGGCACATCGACAGATTTTTCACCTAGTCGGCTCGGGGATTAGAACCAGCGACCTTTCGGTTACTGGCACAACGCTCTTAACCACTAAGCTACCTGCCGCCCTCAATGGCTGCTACTTTTTAGTTATAAAGTTGTAGTTCACTCTGGTTTTAATATCATTAGACAGATCTACAGTGTCGGACACTGTCAGTGTTTGGTAATGGATATTTCATCCTAACATATTTACCTGGATATAACTGACATTTTCCACGTTTTCATAGGTGGGAGGCCCTTTCTCCAGTGTGGCCATCCCTCAGATGAAGGAGTTTGGAAGGATAGCCTTGTGCGGGGGCATCTCAACGTACAATGACACCACTCCACAAACAGGTCTGCTCTCGCACGTTTTTCTTACAGAGATGCACATTTAAAGGAACCCATTTAAATATACACGATTCTACATTGCATAACTCTCTCATTTGTGTTACCTTTATATGCTGCGAGTGTTGAGCTTGTGCGCTGACTGTGCTCATTTCAGTATTCCACTAGAGGGCGCCATTAGCCAGTATTCCACTCAGACTGCTCACCAGCTGAATGTTTTTCACGTATTTCATTCAGTGGAGGCTGGGCTGGTGGGGGGAGCTAAAGGAGGACAGGCTCATTGAAATGTCTGGAATATAATAAATGGAACTGTATCAAACATATGAAACCACATCTTTGACTCTGTTCCATTTATGCCCATTACAATGAGCCCATCATCCTATAGGTCCCCCCACCAGCCTCCTCTGGTTTCATTGCATCAAAATGAATTAAGAAACATATTGGATCTCTGTTTTCCTCTGCCTATATGACACAATCTCTATAATCTCTTTCCTCATCTTGCTTTTCCTTTCACTTTCTCTCTCTCTCTCTCGGACAGGCCCCTACCCCCACCTGAGCATGATCTTTAAGCAGCTGAAGATGGAGGGCTTCCTGGTGGGCAGGTGGGAGCATAAGAACCAAGAGGCTCTGAAGAGACTGATGGCCTGGAAGAGGGAGGCAAGTACAGTACTGGGGATAAAAACTAGCCTGAAACCCAGACCTGTTTTGTGCTAACATTACAGTCCTTGTGCTCAGACATGTTTGGCATATGACATGGAATACACAGAGTGGAACGTTAGCACAAACAGACTGGTACCCAGGGTACATCAAAACTGTAGGAAGTTCAGAACCATGATAATGCTGTATTGGGTAACAATTTCGAACACCATGTTTTACATATTGTGTATATGTGTGTTAGCTGTACACCCTGTTATTCTAGTGAGCCTTCATCTCATTTCGAGCGATTTCATATTTACAATATGAAATGTCTGTGACTGTCAGAGATTATAGACCTGTTAATGTTATGTTTTTATCCACAGGGGAAACTGCAGTGTCGTGAGCATGTCACTGAAGGCTTTGAGAACATGCCTGCTGCCTTTATGGGAATGCTGCAGGGAGAAAACATTGGAAAAGCAATTGTTAAAGTTTAGGTGGCTTCAATGGATACTCTATCACCCATAGAATTAGAATTCAAGGAACATTCCCATAGGAAAGCCACACTATAACCATGACATTTTATTCTGGAATTATTTTTCTGTAGTGCATTCCTAGCACAACCTTATTATACATTCACATCATAGTCCATCCTTGAATCCAAATGTTTACTTTGTATGAAGTATTAAAGTATTTTTATGGCTTTTGATGTCTGACTTTATTTTACTCACAAATCAGATTCAAATGAATTGATAGTGTTTCGTAGACGACCAAGTAGTAATTTAGTAATGGCAAGATGTGCATCACCACACTGTACAACAGAGTAGGTTCTTCTGTCTTATTGCAGGCTCTAAAAATAACTCTGCTCATAATTAATGCTTCTCATCTCCTTGTAAGCGGGAAGAAAGGGCTTTGATTATTAGGCACCAAATGGCAGTAAAAAGGACTAAAACAGGGAGGGACTACCTGGAATTGTCCAATAAGAAACACTCCTTGTTTGTTTGAATGTGACCCAGGGCTTTGAAGCTCCTGTGTTCCTACTCTGTCATTGTGAGTGGATCCAAAACAATAGTGTAAGGTCGATCACCTCTAAGCTGCCTAGAACATCCCATTGTTTGATCTGAATGAGACATCGTTATTTTTAGGTACTGATTTGAATTTCAGTAGAGCTCAGGTGACAAGATGTTCGTTTCTGTAATGAGACAAACCTCATGGTGAGAGCCTATCATGTTCATAACCATGGATCACCATGAGGAAGGAAGGAAGGAATGATTCATACCAATAATGTCATCTGGTGGGAATATTACAATGTATTTGATTCATTCAGATCACTGGTTCATCATACCACAGAATAGATTACTTTCACATTTGATTTGAATGTTCAGCGCAATTACTTTCCCAGCTCCAATGCTATTGGACACTGCTTCTTGACTCACCGGTTCTCTCAACCAATCCCCTGCTGGTAGTAAACCAGGAACTGTCAAGTCACGGTGATTTGTGGAATAAACGATTGTACATGTTGCCTACACAATATGCAGCATTCATATAGTCAAACCAATTTTGATCCCTTTTGATTAATTTCAGGAAATACTATGTTGTTCAAGTATTCCATGCATTTGAATGACCCAAGTAATTTGCAGTCTTGATAAATAGCCTAATCTACACATAAAATATGAAAATGTATCATTTGCATTGCAAGAAGCAGGCGCTACAATGTTGCTATTATCATCCGGATCAAGCAGTCGGCTCGTGGATGGCCCAAGAGGGGCAGGGCTTATGAGCGGCTTTTATAAACCCCGCGGCGTCACACACTTCACCTAGAAAGCCGCTTGCTGTCACAGGAGTTTACAGGATTGTGTTGTAACAGACCGCCAGTAAACCACCATCAACATGATTCTCGAAATTGAAGATAAGGTAATATATATCTTTTGATTGATCATCCAATTCAGCTTGGGGGTTTATAAATAAAGCGTTTATAACGTTCACGCCGCTGCGCCTGTCATCGAATGTTCATTCCTAATTTGCAGCTGACTAGCTAGGCTCATCTGGACTAGGGAAACGTTTTCAATCACCTCTAACTTGTTGGCTAAATAACTACATGCCCAGTTAAAGTGTTCTATTTAGCTATTTAATGTGTACATTGTTCCAGATAACCTTGACTTTGTGTTGATGTGTTGCATCATCGTGGTTGCAATGTTTTAAGTGTTGAGCAGATGGAGTCTGTCCCAGGCAATGATGTTAATAAACCCTGGATTGCTATTATGTATTGGCCATTAAGAAGTTCCTCCATAGGAATTCATGGAATTCTACAGTATTTAAATTAAATGTTTCAAGGACAAAATTACATGTGTTAAGTATTGTTGTTGTAGTGGGGACAGTAACATTAGTAATCTCAAAGCATACTTTAAGGAATATCTTTTAATATATATTTTTTTATTTGTATGTTTAGTTCAGGTTATCATTTTAAAGTATGCATTTAGGTGTCTGTAATATAATAAATGTGGCAAAAACAAATGTAGACATTAATAAATGCATTTATATAGCTTCCAAAATATATTTTACAACGGTGAGGGAGGGCCAAGCTGGAGGCACGGTGGTTTCAACACAGCGCCCCTTCTTAGTCATCTAGTGTATATATAAATTATTGGTCCCAGGCAGTATGGGTTGTGTTGTGTGTAACGTTAGTCTACCAATCGAAGTCCTGTTCCAGCCTCAAACAGGTAAAGGTTGGTGCTAAGCAAGGTCCTATAAACCACTATTATGTTCATATTAACAAATAAAGTATTATATTTTTATGATGCCAGACATTGTTGATGGCCAATAACCTATTCTATATTTGTCATTCTCATTGTGGATGGACAATAATGTATTCTATTGTTCTGTAGGATGCCTTCCTCACAGTTTATTAATGAAGTATTCTCTATTGTTCTGTAGGATGCCTTCCTCAGTGCCCTGAAGGAGGCAGGAGACAAGCTGGTGGTAGTAGACTTCACAGCCTCCTGGTGCGGCCCCTGCAAGAACATCGCACCCTTCTTCAAAGTGAGTGGTCCAACACTCAATATCTCTAGCTTAGTAGCTTAGCTGTATCATTACACACGCAGGAAAATTCTTCCGATTAGGTTCTGAATGCATGTTCTAGGGCCTGCCTGTATTCATAAAGCGTCTTAGACTTGGAGTGCTGATCTAGGATCAGTTCTCCCTTTTAGATCATAATCAAGATGAGTACAAGGACAGGGTGGATCTGATAGTAGATCAGCTCTCCCACTGAGACGCTTTATGAATACAGGCCCAGCTGTGCCTAGTCTAGTTAAGATTCACCCTGGTAGCTGTCAGATGGTCTCCTGTGAGAGGCCTCATGTAAAGTGGGGAGTCTGAAGGGGTTGGTCTGAGCCAGAGATATTATGGAGGAAAAAAACCTGAGTGCATCCCAAATGCCACCCCATTCCCTACATAGCATACTACTTTTGTCCATGGCTCTGGTAAAAAGTAGTGCCCTATAAAGGGAATAGGGTGGCATTTGGGACGTAGCCCGTCTTCGACTGAGCCCTGTTGTGGTGGCTGTGTCGTCTTGGCGACCATCGGGGAAGCCTCCTCTAGGACTTGGCACCTTGCACTTATCAAGTGAAGGGCCCTTAATATAGACTGTAAACAGAATGCTAATGAACAATGCTGAGATGATCAATCATAAGCCCACTGAGGCAGAGCAGGGTTGTGTAAAGTAGGGCCTTGCCGTAAAAAAACGTTTTCAAACGGAAAACTGGGGGCAATACTCGTATTACATAGCATTCTAGTGGAGATGATGTGAATCAAAACCAATGGTGTTTGTCCTCCATCAATACCCCTTGTATGGTATGTCTCTATCTATAAGGACAGTACTGGGTCAATAATAGACTGGTGGATACATGAGCTGCTGTGCTCAGATTAGTGTTGCAAAATTCCCAAGGTTTCCAGTAATCCTGTTTGGAGGATTCTGGAATTCCTGCTTATACCCCCCCCCCCCCCCCCCATTGGGGCTGTTTTGCTGACATTTGACCTTTAACCTGTGCTCTCTGCTCCTCCTACAGGGGCTGTCGGAAAAACCAGAGAACAAGAACGTGGTATTCCTCAAGGTGGACGTGGACGAGGCAGCGGTGAGTCACACAGCCGTGTGTGTGTATGTTCCACAAACATTGAACAATTGTTAATTGTTTTTCTCATTGAAAGTGCTTGGGCATTATGTACTGAATGTTGACGTGATGTAGTGGGACGGTTATCAGATTCTCTGTGAATTAGTACACAGTCCAGTTGGTGTATTTGAATACAGATATCCCTTTGTAGAGATAGATGACTCGCCTCAAATGTATGTAGATCTATTGGGAAACCCCACGAGGCGATCTCTTGAAGTACAAGAGTTGAGAGAATTCTTCGGTTAGGAAAGCAGGGTCAGTAGAAGAGATGGCCTCGTGGGGTTCAGGTGAAAGGTTACTGTCCAATTGTGTGACGTTGTTGCATTGAGCTGGGGTTGCTGTGGCTACGGGAAGTGGCTTTGTGTTGGGTATTTGTTTACAGTCCAGACACTGGTTGAACACCTCAGTCAGTCATTATCTCAGCTGTCTGTGTTGAGTCATATTGTATGAAATCATATAGCCTACTGTGTGTGTGGGGCCGGGTTTCCACAGAGGTGGGGTTTTCCAAGACCTACTCTTCTGCTTTGCCCTTGTATATTATTACAGCAGGCTTGAGGCATTTTGCCCAGTCAGTTAGACAGGACAGGTTTGTCCTAACAAAGGCCTTCCTTACTGGGTGTTACTCAACCACATGGATGTGATTTTTATAGAGGGAGCTTGTTTCTTTACACTACTACTGTACATTTTTAGCATGGCTCCTAATACCCATGGAAAAATAGTTTTAAAAACGCATAACAGGGATTTGAGAGGAATGGGAGATAGAGGACTACAGCAGTGCTGAGGCAGAGGGCTCGTAGTGAGGACAACTGGCTACTATTCTGAACTTTGTGTGGTGAGCTTTCTGGTACCCAGAGCTACGGAGGCATCACCCAAGTGGGTGCTACACAGAGTGGAAGAGAAGTCCAGTGTCTATAAGAGTCAGGCTGGTTCTCAGACTTGCCCTCTACAAGATCATCAGCAGACTCCATCATCTAGCATCCTCTAACCAGCTCTCTCCACTTAAGACATGAACTGACTTCTCCATCTTCGGAGGATGCAGCTTTCAAAGACTTGGTCTCTATTGGTTGACCTGTCATGATATATTGCTTGTTTTGTTTTAGGCTCTTGAAGCGCTTTGAGATTCTATGAAAAGCGCTATAGAAATGTAATTTAATATTATAAGGGTCTGAGTTTTAATCACCATTCACTCTGCCTCTCCTTCTGTAGGATGTGGCCCAACACTGTGACATCAAATGCATGCCAACGTTCCATTTCTACAAGAATGAGAAAAAGGTGGGTCTTTTCTTGTAATGAATCTTTTCCTTTTCATTAATAATATTAAAAGGGGGTAACTCCATTTTAATTGATGGTCTCTTTAATTGATTTACCTCTCGGGCCAAATACGGTATTATATTTAGTATAAAAGGTGGCTATACTGCTATACTAGCCTATGTTTTTCACCATTATTGTAGTACGTTGAAAGTGATCTTAGAATTCCTTGTGGTGTCGTTCCCAGGTGGATGATTTCTCCGGGTCCAACGAAGTCAAACTGGAGGAGAAGGTCAACACTCTGAGGTCATGAGGAAGAGGCTGACACACCCACGCATCTGTACTGACTCTGTACAAACACCACCAACAACTGTCTATAGACCTAACTCCCTCTTGAAGGAATAATTCCACTATATTCCAATTCCCTCTCAAAGGAAAGATTCCACCATATGTACAACAAAACATTCAGTTTTAATTCAAACATTTTATTTTTATTAAATGTTAAGACCAAACCATGCCTCTAAATCCTTCAGTGTATTAGTCGTTCTTATTCAGGTCAGGAGTTTATCTCCGTTTTTAAAAAGGACCATATTATTTTAGACGTGTTTTTATATATTAGAGCTATGCTGTTTGGATTTTGACTGTATTCTGTTTTTAAGAAGGTGGATTCAATAAATTAAGATGAATGCTGAAGTCTGGTATGAGTTCCCTAAATCTTTTTTGGGATGAGTTAACTTACTAGGGTTGCACTTCTATGCATGCGGTGGTAGTCAACTGTATATTTAACTTTCTAGAATATAATTTTGAGCATGTATGACATTTGCATGGTTTGTATTTTATAGCCTAATGTTTATCTAGATTTAGTAGCGGTGTGTAGGTACTAAAATATAGCTTAGAAATGGGTGTGTTGTAGTCTAAGATCCAGCCCAAATACATTGCAGATGCCTGCCGGATCTCACAACACTTAGCTGTTTAACATATCAGCTAATCATATGATATAGCGATCTGATGCCTATCACTTGCTCACATAGGCTTGGCTCTGAGAAACATACAGTTGGAGTGAATGGAACCGACTCAATTGTATTTTATGCTTTAATAAAAACGTGAGAATAGTTTACACATATACATTGGACAATCACATCATTGTTTTTACAACGTACCAGTATAGCAGCATATATTTAATACTGTTGATTTTCTATATGAAAAAATACAGCTTTATTTTACAAAATGTATCTGTTTTTGTTTTCCTGGGAGGGGGGGGGACATAATTCATGGTTTACAATTATGAAATAATTACACAAAATTCCCTTTGAAATCTTCTTTCACGTTGAATGGACTTAAAAATGAAAATATCCTGTTTTTCTTTTCCTGTAAAGTTGAGAAAATGAAGGAGACTATTAGACAATTTTTTGTCATTCTCAAAACTTTTCTTTCTGGCTTGAGATTTTAAATGTAGAACACATTTCCATTCGTCCCGTAGTTATAAACTACTCGGTGCCTGCCTGTTTTGCTCTGACTGTTGGGGTTTGAAAAAGCCCAGTTGGCCATTCTCCCAGTGAGCCAGTCGGATAAACGGAGTGACACAATCACAATGGATGGATAGCCCTGCAGCGTGGCTCATTGCGAAGTGGTTTTCTGGGGAGTCCAGTCAGAAGTGAGAGAGAGGCTTTCTCATTCAGTTATATCTGTCAACCTTGAGTTTTACAGTACATTGGAATTAACTCAACTGAGTTCCCAAAACAGACTCAACTGAGTTTTTACATGGAAAAAGAGCTGAAAAAGAGAATTCAAGAATCCACATGTCAGGAAAAATTCCTGACAATCTTTATCTACACTGTGTGTACAATTATTAGGCAAGTTGTATGTTTGAGGATTAATTTTATAATATGCCATTTAGCAGATGCTTTTATCCAATGCGACTTAAAGTCATGCGTGCATCTTTTTTTTTTTTGTGTATGGGTGGTCCCGGGGATCGAACCCACTACCTTGGCGTTACAAGCGCCGTGCTCTACCAGCTGAGCTACAGAGGACCACATTTTATTACTGAACAACTACAGTGCTCTCGGTCAATCCAAAATGTTAATAAACCTCAAACCTGAATATTTAAGAAAGTAAAAGTGAGGTTTTGGCTTTCTTTGGAGAATATCTACAGTGGGGAAAAAAAGTATTTAGTCAGCCACCAATTGTGCAAGTTCTCCCACTTAAAAAGATGAGAGAGGCCTGTAATTTTCATCATAGGTACACGTCAACTATGACAGACAAATTGAGAGAAAAGAAATCCAGAAAATCACATTGTAGGATTTTTTATGAATTTATTTGCAAATTATGATGGAAAATAAGTATTTGGTCACCTACAAACAAGGTAGATTTCTGGCTCTCACAGACCTGTAGCTTCTTCTTTAAGAGGCTCCTCTGTCCTCCACTCGTTACCTATATTAATGGCACTTGTTATCAGTAAAAAAGACACCTGTCCACAACCTCAAACAGTCACACTCCAAACTCCACTATGGCCAAGACCAAAGAGCTGTCAAAGTACACCAGAAACAAAATTGTAGACCTGCACCAGGCTGGGAAGACTGAATCTGCAATGGGTAAGCAGCTTGGTTTGAAGAAATCAACTGTGGGAGAAATTATTAGGAAATGGAAGACATACAAGACCACTGATAATCTCCCTCGATCTGGGGCTCCACGCAAGATCTCACCCCGTGGGGTCAAAATGATCACAAGAACGGTGAGCAAAAATCCCAGAACCACACGGGGGGACCTAGTGAATGACCTGCAGAGAGCTGGGACCAAAGTAACAAAGCCTACCATCAGTAACACACTATGCCGCCAGGGACTCAAATCCTGCAGTGCCAGACGTGTCCCCCTGCTTAAGCCAGTACATGTCCAGGCCCGTCTGAAGTTTGCTAGAGTGCATTTGGATGATCCAGAAGAGGATTGGGAGAATGTCATATGGTCAGATGAAACCAAAATAGAACTTTTTGGTAAAAACTCAACTCGTCGTGTTTGGAGGACAAAGAATGCTGAGTTGCATCCAAAGAACACCATACCTACTGTGAAGCATGGGGGTGGAAACATCATGCTTTGGGGCTGTTTTTCTGCAAAGGGACCAGGACGACTGATCCGTGTAAAGGAAAGAATGAATGGGGCCATGTATCGTGAGATTTTGAGTGAAAACCTCCTTCCATCAGCAAGGGCATTGAAGATGAAACGTGGCTGGGTCTTTCAGCATGACAATGATCCCAAACACACCGCCCGGGCAACGAAGGAGTGGCTTCGTAAGAAGCATTTCAAGGTCCTGGAGTGGCCTAGCCAGTCTCCAGATCTCAACCCCATAGAAAATCTTTGGAGGGAGTTGAAAGTCCGTGTTGCCCAGCGACAGCCCCAAAACATCACTGCTCTAGAGGAGATCTGCATGGAGGAATGGGCCAAAATACCAGCAACAGTGTGTGAAAACCTTGTGAAGACTTACAGAAAACGTTTGACCTGTGTCATTGCCAACAAAGGGTATATGTGGTCCTCTGTAGCTCAGCTGGTAGAGCACGGCGCTTGTAACGCCAAGGTAGTGGGTTCGATCCCCGGGACCACCCATACACAAAAATGTATGCACGCATGACTGTAAGTCGCTTTGGATAAAAGCGTCTGCTAAATGGCATATTATTTATTATAACAAAGTATTGAGAAACTTTTGTTATTGACCAAATACTTATTTTCCACCATAATTTGCAAATAAATTCATTAAAAATCCTACAATGTGATTTTCTGGATTTTTTTTTCTCATTTTGTCTGTCATAGTTGACGTGTACCTATGATGAAAATTACAGGCCTCTCTCATCTTTTTAAGTGGGAGAACTTGCACAATTGGTGGCTGACTAAATACTTTTTTCCCCCACTGTATGTGTGCACAATTATTGGGCAACTATTAGTGTGCACAATTATTATGCAACTAAATGAAAAACGAAAAGTTCCCCATCTCACTTGTTTATTTTCATCTGTTAAAGTGAGAATAATAAACAAACAACTCAAAATTTACAAATAAACATTTCAGACATTTCAACAACTACAAGAAATCAGTGACCAATATAGCCACCCTTCTTTTCAATAACAGTCATAAGCCTTTCATCCATGGAGTCTGTCAGTTCCTTGATCTGTTGACAATCAACTTTTTGTGCATCAGCAACCACAGCCTCCCAGACACTGGTCAGAGAGGGGTACTGTTTTCCTTCACCGTAAATCCACCGTTTAAGAAGGGACCACAAGTTCTCAATAGGGTTTAGGTCAGGCGAGGAAGGGGGTCATGTCATTATTCTTTCATCTTTAAGGCCTTTACTGGCTAGCCACGTGGTCCTCTGTAGCTCAGCTGGTAGAGCACGGCGCTTGTAACGCCAAGGTAGTGGGTTCGATCCCCGGGACCACCCATACACAAAAAAAAGTATGCACACGTGACTGTAAGTCGCTTTGGATAAAAGCGTCTGCTAAATGGCATATTATTATTATTTACTTAGATGCATGCGATGGAGCAATGTCCTGCATAAAAATAATGGTCTTCTTGAAAGATGTAGACTTTTTCCTGTACCACTGCTTGAAGAAAGTGTCTTCTAAAAACTGCCAGTAGGTTTGGGAGTTGAGTTTGAGTCCATCTTCAACCCGAAAAGGTCCAACTAGCTCATCTTTAATAATACCAGCCCATACCAGTACCCCACCTCCACCTTACTGGCGTCTGAGTCGAAGTGGAGCTCCATGCCCGTTACTGATCCAGCCACAGGCCCATCCATCTGGTCTGTCAAGAGTCACTCTCATCTCATCAGTCCATAAAACCTTTGAAAAATCTGTCTTCAGATATTTCTTGGCCCAGTCTTGACGTTTCAACTTATGTGTCTTGTTCAGTGGTGGTCGAGTTTCAGCCTTCCTTACCTTGGCCATGTCTCTGAGCACTGAACACCTTGTACTTCTGGGCACTCCAGGATGGTTGCAGTTCTGGAATATGACAGCACTGGAGGATAATGGGTTCCTGGTAGCTTCACGTTTGATTCTTCTCAAATCTTTGGCAGTTAATTTGCGTCTTCTTTTCTCAACACGGTTCTTGCGACCCTGTTGACTATTTGCAACAAAACGTTTGATGGTTCTGTGATCACGCCCCAATATCTTAGCAATTTCAAGAGTGCTGCATCCCTCTGAAATACTTTTTACAATTTTTGACTTTTCAGAGTCAGTTAAATCTTTTTTTTGGCCCATTTTGCCTGAGGAAAAGAAGCTGCCTAATAATTATACACACCTTGATATAGGGTGTTGCTCTCCTTAGGCCACACCCTCCCTCATTACACGAATACACATCACCTGACATGCTTAAATCCAATAAGCATTCCAGTTTATACAGCTTGGAGTTGGGAAATATGCATAATAATGATGATATGGTCAAAATACTGACTTGCCAAATAATTGTGCACACAGTGTATATTGTCAGTCAGATGAGGAAAGCTTTCTGTATTAGAGTGGTGCAGTCAGTCAGATACTATACATGTTCTCATTCGGAAAGTATACAGTACATTCGGAAAGTATTCAGACCACTTGATTTTTTCCACATTTTGTTTCGTTACAGCCTTATTCTAAAATTGATTAAATAGTTTTTCCCCCTCATCAATCTACACACAATACCCAATAATGACAAAGCAAAAACAGGTTTTTAGAAATATTTGCATATGTATTAATAATAAAAAACTGAAAAATACAAGCTTGGCACATCTGTATTTGGGGAGTTTCTCCCATTCTTCTCTGCATATCCTCTCAAGCTCTGTCAGGTTGGTTGGGGAGCGTCGCTGCACAGCTATTTTCAGGTCTCTTCAGAGATGTTCGATCGGGTTCAAGTCTGGAATCTGGCTGGGCCACTCAAGGACATTCAGAGACTTGTCCCAAAGCCACTCCTTCATTGTCTTGGCTGTGTGCTTAGGGTCGTTGTCCTGTTGGGTATGTTAACCTTCGGAGCAGGTTTTCATCAAGGATCTCTCTGTACTCTGCTTCGTTCATCTTTCCCTTGATCCTGACTTGTCTCCTAGTCCCTGCCACTGAAAAACATACCCACAGCATGATGCTGCCACCACCATGCTTCACTGTAGGGATGGTGCCAGGTTTCCTCCAGAAGTGACGCTTGGCATTCAGGCCAAAGTGTTCAATCTTGGTTTCATCAGACCAGAGAATCTTGTTTCTCATGGTCTGAGAGTCCTTTAGGTGTCTTTTGGCAAACCTCAAGCGGGCTGTCATGTGCCTTTTACTGAATACTTATGTAAATAAAGTATTTATGTTTATTATTATTATGAAATTTGCAAAAATGTCTTACAACCTTTTTTCTCTTTGTCATTATATGGTATTGTGTGTAGATTGATGAGGAAATGTTTGTATTTAATCCATTTTAGAATAAGGCTGTACCGTAACAAAATGTGGAAAAAGGGAAGGGGTCTGAATACTTTCCGAATGCACTGTATGTGCCCAGTTAGTACTGAACCTCTCTACCCACACCTTGGCCCAACTACAACAGACAGAGAGCTGAGCTGAGCTGAGCTGAGCTGAGAGACAGACCTGGGTTCAAATACTACTTGAAACCCTTTCAAATACTTTGAGTGTCTGCTCTAGCCTGCCAAGAGTGCCAGATGGGCGGGTTTGCAGTTTTGGGACTATTCTATTGGTCGATTAAGCCAGGCAAGCTCAATCAAGCACTGCCGGTAAAGTATTTGAAATGATGTCAAATAGTGTTTGAGCCTAGGTCTGGTGAGAGTGCTCCTCTCCCCCACTCACATTACAGAGATATTGTATAGTAGTGCACTTTGTATTGCTGTACTAGGGTTTGCCTCAAATGATGGCACAGACACAAACTAGGCCTGATTCAGGACAAGGGGAAGAGAGGAGAGATAATTATTTCCTAGGAGCATTATTCATGTAATGCTTTGTCATTCCTGACTAGGGATGGTCCTGACATATTTTGTTCTGTGTGTGGTCTGGTAGTACAGAGTGGTCTGGTAGTACAGAGTGGTCTAGTAGTACAGAGTGGTCTAGTAGTACAGAGTGGTCTGGTAGTACAGAGTGGTCTGGTAGTACAGAGTGGTCTAGTAGTACAGAGTGGTCTAGTAGTACAGAGTGGTCTGGTAGTACAGAGTGGTCTAGTAGTACAGAGTGGTCTAGTAGTACAGAGTGGTCTGGTAGTACAGAGTGGTCTGGTAGTACAGAGTGGTCTAGTAGTACAGAGTGGTCTAGTAGTACAGAGTGGTCTAGTAGTACAGAGTGGTCTGGTAGTACAGAGTGGTCTAGTAGTACAGAGTGGTCTAGTAGTACAGAGTGGTCTGGTAGTACAGAGTGGTCTAGTAGTACAGAGTGGTCTGGTAGTACAGAGTGGTCTAGTAGTACAGAGTGGTCTGGTAGTACAGAGTGGTCTAGTAGTACAGAGTGGTCTAGTAGTACAGAGTGGTCTGGTAGTACAGAGTGGTCTGGTAGTACAGAGTGGTCTAGTAGTACAGAGTGGTCTATTAGTACAGAGTGGTCTGGTAGTACATATGTTTCTACAGTAACTAAGTACAGTAATGTGTGTGAACATGCAGTGTTGATTGTGTGAGTCTGAGACAGGATTTGTGTGTATTTGTGAGGATGTTCTTATGTTTGTAAAGTGTGTGTATACCTGTGTGTGTGTGTGTGTGTGTGTGTGGTTTGTCACCTAGAGCAGTCGTGCCCGCTCCACCCTGGACTGCAGTGACACCTGTTAGGCCTGATGCACCTCCCACCGTTCAGACAGGACGACGAGCACACCGCTGTGAAAACGCACACACACGGTCAATACATCTGTAAACCCTTCATTCAGCACACGTATATATACAGTACCAGTCAAAAGTTTGGACACACCTACTCATTCAAGGGTTTTTCTTTATTTTTACAATGTTTTACATTGTAGAATAATAGTGAAGACATCAAAACGATGAAATAACACATATGGAATCATGTAGTAACCAAAAAAGTGTTAAACAAATCAAAATATATTTTATATTTGAGATTCTTCAAAGTAGCCACCCTTTGCCTTGATGACAGCTTTGCAGACTCTTGGCATTCTCTCAACCAGCTTCATGAGGAATGCTTTTCCAACAGTCTTGAAGGAGTTCCCACAAATGCTGAGCACTTGTTGGCTGCTTTTCCTTCACTCTGCGGTCCAACTCATCCCAAACCATCTCAATTGGGTTGAGGTCGGGTGATTGTGGAGGCCAGGTCATCTGATGCAGCACTCCATCACTCTCCTTCTTGGTCAAATAGCCCTTACACAGCCTGGAGGTGTGTTGGTTCATTTTCCTGTTGAAAAACAAATGATAGTCCCACTAAGTGCAAACCAGATGGGATTGCGTATTGCCTTGAATTCTAAATAAATCACTGACAGTGTCACCAGCAAAGCACCACCACACCATCACAACTCCTCCTCCATGCTTCATGGTGGGAACCACACGTGGTGATCATCCATTCACCTACTCTGCATCTCACAAAGACACAGTTGTAACCAAAAATCTCAAATTTGGACTCATCAGACCAAAGGACAGATTTCCACCGGTCTAATGTAAATTGCTCGTGTTTCTTGGCCCAAGCAAGTCTCTTCTTCTTATTGGTGTCCTTTAGCAGTGGTTTCTTTGCAGCAATTCGACCATGAAGGCTTGATTCACGCAGTCTCCTCTGAACAGTTGATGTTGAGATGTGTCTGTTACTCTGTGAAGCATTCATTTGGGCTGCAATATGAAGTGCAGTTAACTCGAATGAACTTATCCTCTGCAGCAGAGGTAACTCTGGATCATCCTTTCCTGTGGCGGTCCTCATGAGAGCCAGTTTCATCATAGCAATTGATGGTTTTTGCGACTGCACTTGAAGAAACTTTCAAAGTTCTTGAAATGTTCCGGATTGACTGACCTTCATGTCTTAAAGTAATGATGGACTGTCGTTTCTCTTTGCTTATTTGAGCCATAATATGGACTTGGTCTTTTACCAAATAGGGCTATCTTCTGTATACCACCCATACCTTGTCACAACACAACTGATTGGCTCAAATGCATTAAGAAGGAAAGAAATTCCACAAATTAACTTTTAACCAGGCACACCTGTTAATTGAAATGCATTCCAGGTGACTGCCTCATGAAGCTGGTTGAGAGAATGCCAAGAGTGTGCAAAGCTGTCATCAAGGCAAAGGGTGGCTACTTTGAAGAATCTCAAATCTCAAATATATTTTGATTTGTTTAACACTTTTTTGGTTACTACATGATTCCATATGTGTTATTTCACAGTTTTGATGTCTTCACTATTATTCTACAATGTAGAAAATAGTACAAATAAAGAAAAACCCTGGAATGAGTAGGTGTGTCCAAACCTTTGACTGGTACTGTATACACACACACACACACACACACACACACACACACACACACACACACACACACACACACACACACACACACACACACTCACTCACTCACTCAGGTCTATCAGCTTTGCATGCACCTGACCAAGGAACTATCATAAGGCTGAGGTAGTTATTGCCTTTGACCAGGAGCGCAACTTTGGTTTTAGAAGTGGGGCGGACATAATTATATATTTTTTATCCAGTCGGATAAACACTCCAAAGAGCCTACCCGACCGCTCAGAGGCGTCTGCATGGTCCTAAAGCACACCGCTGCCTCGTTTTGTATCACATTCCAATGATAAAACTGGGGGGGACAAAAATGCATTTTCAGAATGTGGGGGGGACATGCCCCCGTCCCCCCCGTCCCCCGTCCCCAGTGAAAGTTGCGCCCCTGCCTATGACTGAATGAGTAACAAGGAGAAGGAGTGGACACACACCCACACTTTCAGTAAGGGTCAACATTAGAATCTCATCTACAAGACTTCCTCATAATAATAGACGTTTCCTGGTAGAACCCTTGGAAATGCGGTCTTCCCTCTGGGCAGAATAACATGTGCTCACCCTTTTTCTAGGTACACTAACAAAACAGGGTTTTCCACATCCACGTTCTCCTGAAATGCATGCAAACATTTATTTAAAACAGAAAGAGGACATGATCAAAGATTGAACGGAAAAGGAGAAGAGAGGTATTAGTGGCTTTGTTTCAGTATTACCGCATCAACAAATTATGTCATCATTCCTGAGAAAACCAAAGCAAACTGACATACTGTACAGTAGACATTATGTTGTCGCCACTCACTGACAAGGCCTTTCTAACTGCCCTTCTGGGATTAATAAAGTTGTATGGAATTGAATTGAATAGTAAGCCTAACAATCTGAGAGGTAGTCCCTGTCTATACGAAAGGGTCATGTTTCTGTCCATGCTTCTACGATGATAGTAGTGTTTGCCTTGGACCCTGTTTAAGAGAAATGCCTGTCACGGCAAGCGCTCGGTTGTCACAGACGCGCATTACTACGGCAACAGAATCACACAGAATGGATGGATAAGTACCTCGGATCATTCATTCATTCTCTCCCTGATGTCATCAACACTTAAAATTCCTGCTTCACTCCTGTGTTGTCATATCAGTCTGACAAATCATTACCAGCCTAGAACACAATAATACATTTATTCTAAGCAGCTACAAGGTCTCCATCCTAACTATGAGTTATGGAAAAAAAACTCCTATTACTTCTTTTAAGAAAAACTGTTTTAAGAAAACTCAGTTATTTCAGACTCAACTGGAGTCACATCTGGTAACTGAGGTATTTTTGGGACAGCTCAAAGTAAGATAACTTCCTAAAATATCTGCAGCTTAATTATATTGTAACATTTTTTTATTTCAAAAGCTTAGTTTCATGCTTTTTGCTTCACTGCTTTTATCAGTGACAGCCTGGTGAGGTCCCTATCTCCCATCTCCCTAGAGGCCACAAGATAATATTTTGCTTACAAAAGTCCTATTAAACATTCCTCACAAGCTAAGGCCCCTACTGTAGGTAAGTATGCTGTTATTGTAGTCACAAAGTGGAAACTCTCTCAGGAGGGAATAAATTAGGGATACAGCTATGTCTCACATCACTGAGCTCCTCACACACACACTCACACTCACTGAACCACACACACACTGAGACAGACGCACACACACACACACACACACACACACACACACACCACTGTGAAACAAACACAAACGCACACACACACTCCTCACAGACACACTGAGACAACACATACACACACACCACTGTGACACACTCTCACACACACACACTTACCAGTGTGACAGCGTGTCCCAGTCCAGCCCGTGGGACACTCACACTGGTAGGGCGCCGCGCACCGCCCGCCGTTCAGACACGGCAGGATGCAGATCGCTGTGATTTGATTGGAGGAGAGACATAAACATAAACTGGAAGCCATCATCACATGATGAGTCATCAACAATTATGTGTTTCACCTCACTGACTAAACCTCTGGGGTCATTCAATACAGGCAAGCTGTGTGTGTTGTGGGTAGGAAGCAGTGTTAAAATAGCAGCTTTCTCTCTGGCTACGTCCAACATGGCACCCTAATTCCCTATATAGTGTACTACTCTGCTGTGTACAGTGCATTCGGAAAGTATTCAGACCCCTTCCCTTTTTCCACATTTTGTTACGTTACAGCCTTATTCTAAAATGGATGACATAAAAACATTTCCTCATCAATCTACACACAAAACGCCATAATGACAAAGCAAAAACACCTTTTTAGAAATGTTAGCAAATTTCATAAAAAACGAAAAACAGAAATACCTTTTTTACATACAGTACCAGTCAAAAGTTTGGACACACCTACTCATTCAAGGGTTTTTCTTTATTTTAAATATTTTCTACATTGTAGAATAATAGTGAAGACATCACAACTATGAAATAACACGTATGGAATCATGTAGTACCCCAAAAAGTGTTAAACAAATCAAAATATATTTTATATTTGAGATTCTTCAAAGTAGCCACCCTTTGTGTTGATGACGGCTTTGCACAATCTTGGCATTCTCTCAACCAGCTTCACCTGGAATGGTTTTCCAACAGTCTTGAAGGAGTTCTCACATATGCTGAGCACTTGTTGGCTGCTTTTCCTTCACTCTGTGGTCCAACTCATCCCAAACCATCTCAATTTGGTTGAGGTTGGGGGATTGTGGAGGCCAGGTAATCTGATGCAGGACTCCATCACTCTCCTTCTTGGTAAAATATCCCTTACATCGCCTGGAGGTGTGTTGGGTCATTTTCCTGTTGAAAAACAAATGATAGTCCCACTAAGCCCAAACCAGACGGGATGGCGTATCGCTGCAGAATGCTGTGGTACCATGCTGATTAAGTGTGCCTTGAATTCTAAATAAATCACAGACAGTGTCACCAGCAAAGCACCCCCACACCATAACACCTCCTCCTCCATGCTTCACAGTGGAAACTACACATGCAGGGATCATCCGTTCACCCACACCGCGTCTCACAAAGACACGGCGGTTGGAACCAAAAATCTCCAATTTGGACTCCAGACCAAAGGACAAATTTCCACCGGTCTAATGTCCATTGCTCGTGTTTCTTGGCCCAAGCAGGTCTCCTCTTCTTATTGGTATCCTTTAGTAGTGGTTTCTTTGCCAGCAAATTCAACCATGAAGGCCTGATTCACAGTCCCCTCTGAACAGTTGATGTTGAGATGTGTCTGTGACTTGAACTCTGTGAAGCATTTATTTGGGATGAAATTTGTGAGGCTGGTAACTCTAATGAACTTATCCTCTGCAGCAGAGGTAACTCTGGGTCTTCCATTCCTGTTGTGGTCCTCATGAGAGCCAGTTTCATCATAGCGCTTGATGGTTTTTGCGACTACACTTGAAGAAATGTTCAAAGTTCGTGAAATTTACCGTATTCACTGGCCTTCATGTCTTAAAGTAATGATGGACTGTCGTTTCTCTTTGCTTATTTGAGCTGTTCTTGCCATAATATGGACTTGGTCTTTTACCAAATAGGGATATCTTCCGTATAAAAATCAAGCCATGAGGTCGAAGGAATTGTCCGTAGAGCTCCGAGACAGGATTGTGTTGAGGCACAGATCTGGGGAAGGGTACCAAAACATTTCTGCAGCATTGAAGGTCCTCAAGAACACAGTGGCCTCCATCATTCTTAAAAGGAAGAAGTTTGGAACCACCAAGACGCTTCCTAGAGCTGGCCGCCCGGCCAAACTGAGCAATTGGGGGAGAAGGGCCTTGGTCAGGGAGGTGACCAAGAACCCGATGGTCACTCTGACAGAGCTCTAGAGTTCCTCTGTGGAGATGGGAGAACCTTCCAGAAGGACAACCATCTCTGCAGAACTCCACCAATCAGGCCTTTATGGTAGAGTTGCCAGACGGAAGCCACTCCTCATTAAAAGGCACATGACAGCCCACTTGGAGTTTGCCAAAAGGCACCTAAAGGACTCTCAGATCATGAGAAAAAAGATTATCTGGTCTGATGAAACCAAGATTGAACTCTTTGGCCTGAATGCCAAGCTTCACGTCTGGAGGAAACCTGGCACCATCCATACGGTGAAGCATGGTGGTGGCAACGTCATGCTGTGGGGATGTTTCTGCAGCAGGGACTGGGAGACTAGTTAGGATAGAGGGAAAGATGAACGGCGCAAAGTACAGAGAGATCCTTGATGAAAACCTGCTCCAGAGCGTTCAGGACCTCAGACTGGGGCTCCCCATCCAACCTGACAGAGCTTGAGATGATCTGCAGGGAAGAATTTGAGAAACTCCCAAATACAGGTGTGCCAAGCTTGTAGCGTCATACCCAAGAAGACTCAAGGCTGTAATCAATGACACACAATCAAAGGTGCTTCAACAAAGTACTGAGTAAAGTGTCTGAATACTTATGTAAATGTTATTTTTCAGTTATGTATTTTAATACATTTGTACAAAAAAAATAAAACCTGTTTTTGCTTTTTCATTATGGGGTCATTGTGTGTAGATTGATTAGGGGGAAAAAAAATTCATCAATTTGAGAATAAGGCTATAACGTAACAACGTGAAAAAAGTCAAATGGTCTGAATACTTTCCGAATGCACTGTATACAGTGAGGGGAAAAAGTATTTGATCCCCTGCTGATTTTGTACGTTTGCCCACTGACAAAGACAGGATCAGTCTATAATTTTAATGGTAGGTTTATTTGATTTGCATTTTAATGAGGGAAATAAGTATTTGACCCCTCTGCAAAACATGACTTAGTACTTGGTGGCAAAACCATTGTTGGCAATCACAGAGGTCAGACGTTTCTTGTAGTTGGCCACCAGGTTTGCACACATCTCAGGAGGGATTTTGTCCCACTCCTCTTTGCAGATCTTCTCCAAGTCATTAAGGTTTCGAGCCTGACGTTTGGCAACTCGAACCTTCAGCTCCCTCCACAGAGTTTCTATGGGATTAAGGTCTGGAGACTGGCTAGGCCACTCCAGGATCTTAATGTGCTTCTTCTTGAGCCACTCCTTTGTTGCCTTGGCCGTGTGTTTTGGGTCATTGTCATGCTGGAATACCCATCCACGACCCATTTTCAATGCCCTGGCTGATGGAAGGAGGTTCTCACCCATGATTTGATGGTACATGGCCCCGTCCATCGTCCCTTTGATGCGGTGAAGTTGTCCTGTCCCCTTAGCAGAAAAACACCCCCAAAGCATAATGTTTCCACCTCCATGTTTGACGGTGGGGATGGTGTTCTTGGGGTCATAGGCAACATTCCTCCTCCTCCAAACACGGCGAGTTGAGTTGATGCCAAAGAGCTCAATTTTGGACTCATCTGACCACAACACTTTCACCCAGTTCTCCTCTGAATCATTCAGATGTTCATTGGCAAACTTCAGACGGGCCTGTATATGTGCTTTCTTGAGCAGGGGGACCTTGCGGGCGCTGCAGGATTTCAGTCCTTCACGGCGTAGTGTGTTACCAATTGTTTTCTTGGTGACTATGGTCCCAGCTGCCTTGAGATCATTGACAAGATCCTCCCGTGTAGTTCTGGGCTGATTCCTCACCGTTCTCATGATCATTGCAACTCCACGAGGTGAGATCTTGCATGGAGCCCCAGGCCGAGGGAGATTGACAGGTCTTTTGTGTTTCTTCCATTTGCGAATAATCGTACCAACTGTTGTCACCTTCTCACCAAGCTGCTTGGCGATGGTCTTGTAGCCCATTCCAGCCTTGTGTAGGTCTACAATTCCCTGACATCCTTGGAGAGCTCTTTGGTCTTGGCCATGGTGGAGAGTTTGGAATCTGATTGGTTGATTGCTTCTGTGGACAGGTATCTTTTATACAGGTAACAAGCTGAGATTAGGAGCACTCCCTAATCTCAGCTCGTTACCTGTATAAAAGACACCTGGGAGCCAGAAATCTTTCTGATTGAAAAGGGGTCATATACTTATTTCCCTCATTAAAATGCAAATCAATTTAGAACATTTTTGACATGCGTTTTTCTGGATTTCTTTTGTTGTTATTCTGTCTCTCACTGTTCAAATAAACCTACCATTAAAATTATAGACTGATCATTTCTTTTTCAGTGGGCAAACGTACAAAATCAGCAGGGGATCAAATACTTTTTTCCCTCACTGTATATAGTGAATTACTTTTCACCACAGCCCAATCAGGTAGTGCTCTCTCTACTGTGTGAATATGGTGCCATTTCAGACTCAACCTCTCTCACTGGGGTAGACAAGAGTACACAAAAAGGCAGTGAACATTTTCACACAGATGGGGAAATATTTTCCTCATGAGTGTCTCTGTGATTTTAGACTATCTAATGTGAGTATATACTATTCTACTCTGACTGTGTAAAGCTAGCTGAGTCAATTCCTCAGAGTCAGTGAAACAGTGTGGGTCTGTTCCTGACTGCAGTGTGGATCCACTTTCCCTGACAGACTCTTTGTTTGTGATGAGAGGACTGAGATCCAAATCTCTCTCTCTCTCTCTCTCTCTCTCTCTCTCTCTCTCTCTCTCTCTCTCTCTCTCTCTCTCTCTCTCTCTCTCTCTCTCTCTCTCTGTCTCTCTCTCTGTCTCTCTCTCTGTCTCTCTCTCTCTCTTCAGGTAGGACCATACTTACACTCCCCAAGTCTGCCCATCCATCCAAAATAAATGTGATTGATTGATGAATTGGTTGATAATACTTACGTTCCTCACACAGTCTGCCCATCCACCCCTCAGGACATGAACAGGTGTTTGGTCTCTGACACACCCCTCCGTTCAGGCACTGCAGCCAACACACTGCTGGAGAGAACAGGAAGACACACCTGATTGAAGCCAAAATACTGAGACATCCCCAAACAGTCCCCATCTGACCAGCGTGTAGAGAGGCTCCATAGGAGAGAAAGCATTCAGTTAAGATAGCTAGTCCTGTTTAATAGAAAATTGATAATGTTACTGGTAGTCATGCTGTGATTGGGCCTTGACCATGCAACTTCATGCACTGGGATAAAGATAGATTCGTAAAAACAGCATTCCTTTATAGAAACTGTTCATTCAATATAGCTACCCAACAGACGCTGCCTTAGACACAGGCATCCCTAGACAACCCTGCTATCTTTCTAGTATGTACAAATAAAGTGGGAAGTGTGTACGGGCAGAGTAGGGAGTGTGTACAATACAAGGGAGTGGTGAAGCGGAGGGGAGGGCACGCAAGCTGTCAGGAGTAGACAGGATGCCCTCCTTTTAGGACGCAATAGGGGTGCAGTCTCTCTACCTCTGCAGGCAGGAGGGGGGGTCCAGGTCCCGTTCTCCAGACACACACTCCTGCTGTTGCCCTTCATGGCGTACCCTCCGAAACACGAGTACACGGCCACATCCCCGAACTGGAACACCGCCCCCCGCACCACCCCGTTGGCCACGTGGAGAGGGGGGCCGCAGGACACCCCTGTGCCGAAACGGACGGACAGCCCCTCTGGTTACTTACAAGTCATTTAGGGACCCATGTTATACCCATGTTGTGTACATGTTATCACACATGTGCCTCTAAACGTTTTGATAGTAAGAAGTCCATCTCTGCTTTTCAACGAAAAAACATGAATAGAATAACTTTTCCTCTAGGGATGATGGGAGATGTTGACAGAGAAGTAATGTTAGGATAATACCACCTCAAATCAAATCAAATCAGTAGCAGTAAATAACACATTGAATGGTCTGTCATACAAAGTATGCATTGCTGCTGTGTCAAGTCTTCAAAGAAACATTGTGAATGCCATGCAGAGATGTGTTGACATGTCGAAGTGTGACTGAACAGAGTGTGTTTGATTTTCCTTGTAAGGCCTTGAAAACCAATCCAACCATTGAGAATCAGTCAGTGTTGGAGACCACAGGGAAGACCTCAACAAGCTAGAGCAAGGCAGACATTCAAATATATCTACCTCTACAAACCATACAAGCAAAAAACAAGGTACTGTATACCAACAGTATAACAACGTAATCAAGCAAGTTAGCGAGAATGAAAACACAGTGTAAACTCCCTGCGAATGGTTTCCATAGCAGCTGTAAACCCATAATTAGTCACAAACATGCCAGCCACAACAGATCTGCTTAATGGAACCCATTCATCCAGCCTAACACAAGCTGTCCACAGAGACAGAGGAGAGGAGAGAAGAGGAGAGGAGGAGGAAGTGATGGAAAACTACAGAAGACAATAGTCAGGATCCATGCTCAATGTGCAGTAAGCAGGCCACGCAGATAGCAAAGGAGAAACCACGCAGGGGTGGATCCTCTATCAATGTACATGTCTAGTTTTTTCTGCACTTGTAATATTGTTATGTTACAAATCGATTCACTTCTGTATAGTAAAAATAGTTCTAGAAAAAACAGTGGACTTGACACAGTATCATGATCCAAATAATTCACAGAAAGACCAGTATATCACATTACCCACTGCACAGATGCCTCCTTGTGTAGTGGAAGAATGAGAGAAGGCGACTGGCTAGCGTGGGAGCACAGCCATTTATGACATTGTTTTGGATGGCAGACCATCTGTGGGCTACCACAGGGGTCAAACACATCTTATCTGGGACAATCTCAATGAAGAGATATTCCCACAGAAGTCCTAGGGTCACTGAAGCCAGGAGAGATGAAGACTGATGAAACTTGAATCGACGAAATGAATGTTATTGTGTGAATTAAACTGTCATGTTTGGATTGTTTCAAGAGTTCATAAAGAGCTATGAATTTGTATGTTTTATTGTACTGTAAGTGCTATGGATTTATTGTTACAGAGAAACTGTTCTTCTGTTCGTCAGACGGCGGATAGTTCAAAGAGGAGCGACACAGGGTTGTGCTCTTATCATACAGTGTTGAGGTGTGGTGATTAGATTAGAGAATGCGTGTGAAGTTTTATGCCTTTTGTTTGAATGTTTTGGGCCATGCAAAGTGATGCTAATTAGACGATAAGAGAAACTGGAAGTTGGAGCTCTTGGAAGAATAAAAGCTGGGTTTAAACGTTGATCATGGAGTCATTGGTAAACCGATCTCCTGATGTACGTTTGTATGTCATAGTGGGGAATTTCCTATGCTGTTAAGACTTAGGCTATTTTGTATTCTTTTTATTGTAAAGATTTCTGGTGTGTACCATTTGTTAATTGTATTCTTATTGCGTAACTGTAATAAATCGGATTACTTTTAAATGGATACGAACCGTAGTCCTCACATTTCTGAGTAATATTCCTTGAATTATTATTTCGTGAAATGTCTAATGGTAACGGTTATTCACAATACACATAGCATATATGCTCGGTCTCTAACTGTGCATCTCTGAGCTGAGGGTAACTCAATCATTTAATGCTAGGACACTGATTGCAAGATATTAGCTCCTTGACCCTTAGCCTCTTAATAATTGCATAACGGTAAACCTAGACACGTGCATCTTATAGTATTCCGAGTGGTGACGCAAGGATCACAACCGTTGCTATACCCACTGTATACGATTATGGGCCTATAGCATTCACATAATAATGGCGTCAGATTGATGAATGTAGTTTCTTATTATTCAACATAATCTTTACACGTCTACATAATGAAGACCCCTTATCCTGAGTCGATGGGGATTTCCACCAACCTACATAATGGTTGGATAATTTCCACCAAATTATAAATGGTGACTCATCCAGTTGATTGGAATTACCACCAACCTACCTGGATCATTTCCACCAAACTATAAATGGTGTGTCACGGATACAGCCGAGGCTGCCCCTCCTCCTTGCTCGGGCAGGCTTCGGCGTTCGTCGTCACCGGAGTACTAGCTGCCACCGATCGATGTTTCTGTGTCACACTAGTCCTGTCTTTATTATTCACACCTGTTACTCATTAGGCTTGTTGGTTTCCCTATATTACCTCTGTTTTTCCCTCCTGGGTTTGTGCGTGATTGTTCGTTGTTACGTCGACTGTTGAGCTGTTGTTTTGCTCTTCCCTGCGTGGAGGGTTTGCTATGGTTTACTTTGTGTTTAGTAAAGCCATACTTTTCTCAGTTCTGTGTCCTGCGCCTGATTCTGTTTCACCAGTTCACCCAGACGCTGACATGGTGACTCATCCAGTTGATGGGGATTTACACGAACCTACATAATGGTTGGATCATTTCCACCAAACTATAAATGGTGACTCATCCAGCTGATGGGAATTTTCTCTCTCTCTCTCTCTCTCTCTCTCTATATATATATATATATATATATATATATATATTTAACTAGGCAAGTCAATTAAGAACAAATTCTTGTTTACAATGACAGCCTACCCCAGACAACGCTGGGCCAACTGCGCACCACCCTATTCTCAATCACGGCCAAATTGTGATACAGCCTGGAATCGAACCAGGGTCTGTAGTGACGCCACTAGCACTGAAATGCACAGCAATCTTACACTAGACTTGTACATGTACAGATCCATCCCCATAGAGATCTTATTCTAATTCCTAATTTTATGTTCCCACCATTCATTCAAGAAACACACAAGCTTGGATGCTAACAAAGTGCAACAGGAAATTGTTTTGAATATGCAGAAAGGATTTTGATTTGCAAACAACCTGAGCCTCAGAGATTTCCCCATGTGAATCTTGTTTTAAGTGGCCTATGTGCTCACCATCTGCTGGTTTCCACATTTATAACCACTGTATTGTGGGTGAAACAACAGCAGTAAATTCAGTTTATATAAGCAGTAATCTTGGTTAACTCAGAACTAAAGTGTCACGTAATTGGTCAGCTGCTCAATTAAGTTCTGGGTCCATACTTGTTAAGAGATGAGGAGACGCTAGAACGAGGAGCAGAAATTGAATAATGAGCTCCACCTTCTCTCTTCGCACGTTACGGGATGAATGCCCCCTCTCAATTCTACAGTATATCAGAGTAAACTCCCACCCGGTAAACAACAATTTCAATATGGTGACTCATACTAAGCTGTAACTCTCACTTCTATCCTCTGGAACATGGGTGTTCCTTCCACCTAAGCTGCATCTGAAATGGCAAAACCAGGGCCCTATGGGCTCCGGTCAAATGTAGTGCACTATATAGGGAACAGGGTGCCATTTGAGACACAGCCTAGAGAACACACTTTATGGCTGCACTGATCTTATGGTTGTTCTTATTAATAAAACACTAACCTTGAAGTGTACCAGATGAAGGTACGGAGAGAGAGAGAGAGAGAGAGAGAGAGAGAGAGAGAGAGAGAGAGAGAGAGAGAGAGAGAGAGAGAGAGAGAGAGAGGGAGAAACAGAAGAGGAGGAGGATGAGGAGGAAGTAAGATTCAATTATTCTATGTTGACCAAGAATGGTACAACTTATCTTGAAATTGTCGTCTTGTTCCAATGTCAATATCCCGGTTGGGACGTGAAGTAATAAAATACTAATATGTGGTGGGGTTGGTGTAGCCTACCTACCAGTCATATCTTACATTGTTGACCAGCCACTCTGCGTAGTTTACTGTGTTGTCCTGATGAGGTACGTTTCCTGTTCAGGCTTTCCTTCTAGCCTGCGCTAACCTAACGTAGCAGGCATAGAAAGATGCCTGAGCAGAGTCTCCACGGAAGTTAGTCTGAAAATACTGTATCCCTGAAAACCGGCAACATCTGCTTTCTGCCAACGCCGCTAAGGGTGGCTCTGCGCTAACATACCTGATTCAACTAAACCCTTGTTTTCATGGTTATAAATGGTTTATTTATTAACCTTAGTTAACCACGTAAATAAAGGTAATTGACAACACATTCTCTTGTACAATAATGACCTGATTGGGTGTGTTAGTACTGGTCTGGAACAAAACCCTACACCCCATGTGGATCTCCAGGACCAGGCTTGAAGAACAGTATTTTAAAGACTACTCACTCTCACAGGCACTGCTGACTGAGGTCCATGTCTGGTCGCTCCTACAGGTGATGGTGGCCGTGCCTTTTCCCTGGTGGCCCTTGGGACAGGTGAACGGTAATGACTGACCCACGTAGAACAGCTGTTTAGAAGCGTTAACACTCCTACTGCTCTCCTTCCATCCAGGGGGAGGGGGACATGGTTTGGCTGCATGGGGAGACACAGAGTCTAGTATTGGATTACAATGTAGGCATGTCAAAGTGTGTAAAATGTAGGGGGGAAGAATGCTAGTAGGGGAGACCATGAATATTTATGAATTTGAGTTTACAGGGTATGATGGTGGATTAGAGACAGGTTCGGCATAAGCCCAGAGGCTACATGTAAATGTCATAACAAGGTGTGTAAATGTTTGTGAGACTATGTAAGCTCTGTGGGTCACCTATAATGACAGTCTTTTTATTACAACATGTTTGGTCAAGTAGCAGAATATCACTCTGCATAAGCAGAGTCAGTAGCTATGTTTCCATTACTTTGTCCAGTGATTTTTTTGTCGACATTTAGAAAGTTTGCATTGAAAATAGATGTGACAATTGCCTGCTACGGTGCATTTCCATTGAACAGTCGTGTGTCGATAAAAACAACTAGGCGTAATGACGCCTTAAAAAAAATAAAAACTTTTCAGCAAAAACCTACTGTCGAATAAAAATTACGTGGTTTCCATTATCCATTTAGGCTAATTGCGCATTAATAAATTGGCGATAGCCTGTATGCCCTCCCACCCATCTGTTTCATGTTTCAGGTAGCCTGCAAAAGCCAGCATGGATAGAATGCAAGAATTGACTAATATTTGCCATTCTAATAACGGTCATGTGCCAACGTATCGCCACGGTCTGTGCCATGGTGAGACTTGCACTCCTGCTGTAGATCTGGGGGAAAAAATGGATGGTAAAACTTGCATCCAGCCAACCGAAAAGCAAGGCGAAGCAATTCAGACAGTCTCAAAAGTGCAGACAATCCCTGTCCTGCAATTAAACCTTATTTTTACAGTTGAAAAATAGATTTAGCAAGCAGTAGGCATGTATAATTAAATTAGGAGTTGAGCTTTATAGTTACGTGATGACATCACATGCCCTGTGTACCTTCAAAATTATTCACCATCATAATTTATTCGAAAAACACCGTTTACATCATAATTTGTCGCAATAAAGAAAGTTAGACAAAATACAAATCCACCCCTGTCTTGATCAAATGTATCCTATAGCTGCCATTTCCATTACACATGTCGCAATGTTATTTTTTGCGATATTGCTTTTGTCGAATAAACCTGGGTCAATGGCAACCTGCCTAATTATCGTGTCAATTAAATCGAATCATCGGCAGCCCTTGTGCTGTAAGGAGCATAGATACACCATGCATCATTATTGTCCCACTGTCCTTTCATTGATCATTAGCCATCAGTGCTCTTAGGCTGCGTTTACACAGGCAGCCCAATTCTGATATTTTTTTCAATAATTGGTCTTTTGACTAATCAGATCTGATGTGAAAAGATCTGATGTGATTGGTCAAAAGACCAATTAGTGGACAAAATATTAGAATTGGTCTGCCTGTGTAAGAAGCCTTAATCATATTATTTTCAGGTCATTGGCTACAGTTTTGAAACAGCCTGTGAAACAGTGTTGATGTTGCAAAGTATTCCAGGCATTGTATGTGTCAGCCCTCCCTCCCTCTCTTCCCTCTGTGGTGTGTGTGTGTGTGTGTGTGCGTGCGTGTGTGTGTCGGCCCTCCCTCCCCTCCCTCCGTGGTGTGGTGTGTGTGCGTGCGTGTGTGTGTGTTAGTGTGATTGTGTGTCGGTCCTCCCTCCCCTCCCGCTGTGGTATGGGTGTGTGAGTGTGTGTGTGTGTGTGTGTGTCAGCCCTCCCCTCCCTATGTGGTCTGTTGTGCAAGCTGATGTCCAAACCCCTAAACAATGTGAGGTGTGGAAATACAACTGCTTTTCTCTGGTACTCAGTACTGGTACTCAGTGTAGATTGGGTGCAAACCAATAGAAAGAACAGAGCCTGAGCTAAATGAATAAGATAAAACCATCAGCTGTCTCTTTTATTCTGTCAGGAGGTTTCCCTGACCATGTGACCTGACCAAGAAAAACTCCTGCCCTGATTCTATGAAGCAAGAAGAAGAAGAAGAAGAAGAAACTCCAACATATTCATGTTTGTCTCAAAGTCTTACGTTGACAGAAGGGGAAGATGGAACTCCATGTCCCGTCTCCCATACACACCACCAGAGCATCCCCCTGTAGGGTGTAGCCTTTATCACACTGAAACGCTACAGCACGCCCGGTGGTCAGGCTCTGTTCCTGCACTACGCCGTTCAAAAAGTCCTTGGGGATGTTACAACCCTGGCCAACTGAGAGGGAGAGGGGGAGAAGGAGAGAGAGAGAGAAAGAGGGAGAGGGGGAGAAGGAGAGAGAGGTGAAGGAAAAGGACCGGGACAAAGGGGAAGGGGAGAAGGAGAGAGGAGGGAGATGGGGAAAAGGGAGAGGAGAGAGAGAAAGATGGGAGGAGACGGAAGAGGATGGGAGGAAAGAAAGAGAAGGCGGGGGGGGGGGGGGGGGGGGGGGGAATAATAAAAAAGCTTGATTTTCCATGCTTCACGTTTCAAGTTGCCTTGTCAAACATTTCCAAAACTATTGCTTAAACAGATACAGACTGTGGACAATACGATGAAGTAGGAATAACTCATACCTTCACACGTTGGTGCAGGCAGACTCCATGTTCCATTAGTCAGACAGGTGAGGTTCTGTGGACCAATCAGATGTAGGCCAGGGTTGCACACATAGCTGACGTTGCTCTGGTACGTCTCCCCTGATGTCTGTGTCTCTGCATTCTCCACTGAGGGAGGTGGACCACACGATACAGCTGAGGACACACAAGATGGAAGAAGGAAACTAGAGTTAAATGGGGTTAATAAGCATTGCCTGAATGAATGGATTGGACGTGTGCTCAAACACACACACGCACACACACACACACAGACACACACACACTTACCGACACAGGTAGGCTGGGCCCCATTCCATGTTCCATCTCCTAGACAGGTTTGTACAGAGTCACCCTGTAAAAAAGTGACAGTCACAGTATTAAACACTGAAGACATATACACTAAATAGACACTGGGCATTGTGAATCTCTCTGTAAACACACAGTGACTCAGCTCTCTGCTAACATTATGACCCACCATCCACTCTCATTCATAGGTAATTACGTCATGTGATTTCCAGTAATGGAACATTAGCCTAGACATTTGCAGATTACTTTTCACCCAAAGTAAGAGTGAAAGTAGCATTTATTAGATTTCTCACTATAGTAATTGGAAAAATTCCATGCACTCGATTCTCAAAATATTATGATCAATGAGGTTTTGCACAAATTCAAGCTAAATTGTTGATATTTTTCTCTGTTCTGTAATAATATTGTAATATCAATATTGTAATAATACTGTAATAATATAACTTTGTATCAGAGTGTCAGACATTACCTTCATCTCAAACCCTGGCAGGCAGGTGTACAAGACAATGTCTCCATAGCTGTAACTGTCCCCCTTAGTGATACCATGATGAAGAGGAAGAGGTTTCTCACAAACCACCAGAACACAGGAGACAGAGGAGAGGTCTGGAGACCAGCTACCACCCAGCTACAACAACAGAATTAGTTCATAATCATGACATGAATTCATATTCAGTTAACATCTGTGAATGATGGATCTGTAAATCGCGCTAGATGAGAGCGTATGTTTAATGACTAAAATGCAAATGATGAAAAGCCATAATGAACATAGGAAGGATTGAGGGAAATGTGAATAGTGACCAGAGAGCTGTCTAGAGTATAAAAAGTAGAAATTAGAAAGTTGAGATTGTTGAACACAATACACTGAGTGTACAAAACATTAAGAACACCTGCTCTTTTATTTACGTCATTTAGCAGACGCTCTTATCCTTATTGTTTTTTGATACTGGCCCCCTGTGGGAATTGAACCCACAACCCTGCCGTTGCAAACGCCATGCTCTACCAACTGAGCTACATCCCTGCCGGCCATTCCCTCCCCTACCCTGGGCCAATTGTGCGCAGCCCCATGGGTCTCCCGGTCGCGGCCGGCTACGACAGAGCCTGGATTAGAACCAGGATCTCTAGTGGCACAGCTAGCACTGCGATGCAGTGCCTTAGACCACTGCGCCACTCGGGAGACATAGACTTTCCATGACATAGACTGACCAGGTGAATCCAGGTGTTGGATTCTAGCTTGAAATACACTTATTCATGTTATCATACTAGAACGTATTGATTGCTTTACATCAGTGGAGGCTCCTCAGAGGAGGAAGGGGAGGACCATCCTCCTCAGTGAATTTCATAAAAATAAAAATGGTAAAACATTTAAAATGTTATCCTTTTTAGATAAAACTATACTAAATATAATCACATCAACAAATAATTGCTTAAAACACAGTATTCTGCAAAGAAGGTCTACAGTAGCCTCAACTGCACTCTGTAGGGTAGCACCATAGTGTAGCCGGAGGACAGCTAGCTTCCGTCCTCCTCTGGGTACATTGACTTCAATACAAAACCTAGGGGGCTCATGGTTCTCACCCCCTTCCATAGACTTACACAGTAATTATGACAACTTCCAGAGGATGTCCTCTAACCTATCAGCATGAACTGACAACTGACCCAATCAAAGGATCAGAGAATTAATCTAGTACTGAAAGCATAATCTACAGCTAGCTAACACTGCAGTGCATAGAATGTGGTGAGTAGTTGACTCAAAGAGAGATAAAGACAATAGTTGAACAGTTTTGAACAAATTCATTTCTTCCAAAATGAAGGAGAAGCAAGAGAGAAATATATAGAGAGAGATTGTCATTTATTTTCACTTTCAGTTTCACTTACTTAGCTAGCAAATGCAGCTAGCTAGTTTACCTTACTGAAACACCCTCCTCAAACAGAGGGATGCTATGTTAGATAGCTGGCTATGACAATCCACACAACACTGGAATTCTTCCAAGTCAAGCTAAGCTTTTGTTTTACTAGTTTATTTCCACCGGGGCCCGACAGTGTAACTGCTTACTGACTGTACACTAACATTACTGCATGATTGTAGCGGGTTTACTAAGGCGTTAGTTCTATTAGCTATGCTGACTATGACGTTACTTTAGCTAATATGGTGACAATGATGTAGGCTGTGTGTAGCAGTTTGGCTTGGAACGTTTTTTTTGCCAGGTCACATGCAGCTGATGTGTTGTGCATTGAAGTCCACAAGCGAAGGGAAGAGGTGAGAGGAGGAGAGTGCATGGATGCGAGAAGGAATACAACGTGGCTGCTATGAAAGTGAACTGTGTTACTAGTGATCAGGGGTGTATTCAAATATTTCTTAAACGGAAGCAAACGGAACAAAATGGGGATAAACATACTTGAATTTGTCCAATAGAAACTTGTCTCTCAACCTGTGTGCACCTACTTTGTAAACTTTCATTCATAGGCTAGGTTGTAGCATCCTCATGATGGGTATAGGGAAAATTCAAGTATCATGTAGTATCCTAAACCTATTGCTGTTACATTGAACTGGGTGAATGGAATATGAATGACAGTCATCCAATATGCTGTAATAGAAATACAAATTGTCCTCCTTCATCTTAGACGGCACTGACCACCACTGCTTTACATGTGTAATGAATGTATATGTTGGGGTCAATGGAGGGTGGATAAGAACTAGGGGTATGGAAAGTTACTGAGTGAGACAATGGGGGTAGACAGTAAGTTTACATTCTGTCGAACATGTTATTATTAAATGTAATGGATCCTATGGAGGGAGGTAAAGGGCAACTGTCTGGTTTCAGTCACTGATAAGGTAGAACAGCCATGGAGTAGGGAGGAGTGAGGAATTCGGCCCGAGGTCAGGTCAGATGAAGTGAGAAGGAACAGTTCTATCCCCCACACATATATATTTAGCAGGTGGCGGGGCCATGACGACACCAATGAGAGGAACCAATTAAGTTCTTGACTAGCAACAGAGATATGTTGGCTATCTAGATATGCAAGGAGGTGACTCCTCCTAGTAGGAGGGTATAAATATATGTGCTTGTGTAAACATGTCTTTGTCTTTGCAGCTGTTTGACCCAGTGGGTGAATAAACTTGGTTTGAGCTTTTCCTAGTCATCCGTTTGAGTTTTTACTCTGTTTGTTCAGAACCTAACACAGGTGAAAGCTATGATCCCTTATTGATCTCACTTGTTAAATCCAATCAGTGTAGATGAAGGGGAGGAGACAGGTTAAAGATGGATTTTTAAGCCTTGGCACAATTTACACATGGATTGTGTATGTGTGCCATTCAGAGGGTGAATGAACAAGACAAAATATTTAAGTGCCTTTGAACAGGTTATGGTAGTAGGTGCCAGGCGCACCGGTTTGAGTGCCATGAACTGCAACGCTGCTGGGTTTTTCAACGCTCAACAGTTTCCTGTGTGTATCAAGAATGGTCCACCACCCAAAAAACATCCAGCCAAATTGACACAACTGTAAGAAGCATTGGAGTCAACATGTGCCCTGTGGAATGCTTTCAACACCTTGTAAAGTCCATGCCCTGACAAATTGAGGCTGTTCTGAGGGCAAAAGGGTCTGCAAACTCAATACACTCAGTGTATATTAAAATGTAATCCAACATCACTGACCATCTCAACATATTGACCATGTCGACACTTGAGTGGGTGTAAATCATGTCTTCATGTTTTCAGTGCATTAAAACAGTCTTACCTGACACTCTGCCAGACCTGGCCCCTGCAGGAGGAACCCAGGTGGGCAGGAGAAGGTGACTGCCCCCCCTACAAGGGTGTGGTCCTCCCCCGGTGACCAGGACGTGGGTGGTGAGGTTGGCAGGGAGCGGGACATGGGGCGGGGCGGCACCTGATGCTGTGTTTAGACCAGGTGCCTTCATACTGACAGGTCAGATAGTCAGAAGGGCTGGTCAGCTCATACCCCTCATCACACCTAGAGAGAGAGGGGGAGAGAGAGAGAGAGAGAGAGAGAGAGAGAGAGAGAGAGAGAGAGAGAGAGAGAGAGAGAGAGAGAGAGAGAGAGAGAGAGGAGAGAGAGAGGGGGAGAGGGAGAGAAAGAGGGATATTAAATACCATACTATCTACTTGAATAGTACTTCTCTAACACTTAGATGGACAAAGAGGTTTTAACTCTCTGAAAGATACAGCAGTACATATTCACCTGTATTGGATCTGGCTTCCGAAGGTGAACATCTCTCCCACCACGTGAGCATGTGGTACAGGAGTTGGCTCTCCACAGGAGACAGGCTCACAGCTGATCCTCACCTCGCCCCACCTGCCCTCCCTACCACAGGTAACATGTGGGTAGGACCCCTTCATCTGGTAACCCGGCTTGCACCGGTAGGTAACTGTGTCTGGGACAGTGGCACTGTCGCCCTGCAGGACAGCGTGGGGTACTGTAGGCGGGGCAGCCACGCACCTCCCCCGGCCACACACAGGAACACCCGGGCTCCACAGCCCGCCCTTCTCACACGTTGCTGCCGCCGGCCCCAGGACCTTGTAGCCCTCGTCGCAGAGGAAGAAGACGCGGTCACCGCAGGCGTGGTCGCGCCCCAGCACCACCCCGTATTTTAACACTGGAGGGGTGCAGAGGCAGGGGCGGCACTCCGGTACCGTCCCAACCCAATGGCCCTGGGCGGAACAGCGTAGGACGGGGTCACCGAAGACCTCGTACCCGTCAAAACACACGTACTCCACGACGTCATCATAGTGGAAGCTCGAGCCATTGAGGTAACCGTGGCTGATATCCTGCGGCGGGTCGCAGGCGATGATGTCACAGCGAGGGGCGGGTCCTTCCCCCCAGAGTCCGTCCCCTCGACACATTCGCTTGGGTTCGCCGCCGCTGAGGCTGTACCCCTCCTCACACTCGTACCACACCTCACGGCCGTAGCCAAAGTCAGAGCCCAGGACTCGACCATTGGGGATGGATGCTGGTCTACCGCAGTGGGCTGGATGACACTCAGGCGACACATGACTCCAGGTACCATTGGCCTGACACACACTAACAGAGGGGCCTTGTAGGAGCAAGCCGGACTTACAGCTCAGCTCTACATGTTTGTTAAACGTATATTCCTTCCCTGTCACAGTGACATCACTAGGAACAACGGGAGAGCCACAGGAAATAGGCTCACACCAAGGCTTCTCAGCATCCCACTTCCCGTCTGCCTTACAGGTCCTGGTGTCACCGCCCTTCAGGACGAACCCGGAACTACACTTGTAACGCAACACCTCCAGATACAGGAAGGAGTCTCCGTCGGCCAAGCCGTTATCGATGTCGCCCGGGTCACCGCAGGATATAGGTCGGCAGACAGGCGGAACGTCGCTCCACTGTCGGCCCGCCACACACTGTCTGACTGACTCCCCATCTAACTCGTAGCCCTCCTCACAGCTGTACTTCACCAGGCTACCCAGGGTTGTGTCTGTGATGTTCACAGAACCGTGGTCTGGGCTGGGCGGCTCCTCACACTCTGCAGGAACACACATGGGAGCCGTCCCGTTCCACCCCCCCTCCTCCAGGCACATTAAGGCAGTAGAGGTTGTTAGCTCATAGCTCTTATGGCAGTGGTACACTATCACAGTCCCATGCAGGAAGCTCATATCCATGGGTGATAACGGCACTGTAGCACCACCTATAGGCTTGGAGGTTATAGCGGTGTCCCTCCCGGCTAGCTCCGCGTTCGGATCCAAGAGCCTCGAATACTCGCCAAAGTCTATATGAGGGGGCAGGCCGCAGTCAGAGGGGACGCAGACTGGGACGGAACTGGACCAACCAAACTCCTCACAGGTCAGGTGGTTCTGGCCGACCAATTGAAAGCCAGGGAAACAGCTGTAGAAGATGGTGACGCCGAACTTGTGGTCGAGACCCTCCACGAAGCCGTTGTCTATGGGGTTGGGCGGAGCACAGTAGATCTGGACGCACATGGGCGTCTCTTGGTCCCACTCCCCGTTCGCCAGACACTTCAACGTATCGGGACCATGTAGACGGTAACCGCGGCGACAGGAGAAGTTGACGGCGTGGTTGAACTGGAGTTTGGTATACGCCACCTTCCCATTGGGTATCTCTTTAGGGATGGAGCACTCGATTGGTTGACAGGAAGGTACGCCTCCGATCCAGAGCCCACTTTCACCACAGAGTACCGTAGCGTTTCCAACCAAGCTATACCCAGGTTTACAGCTGTAGAGAGCCGTGCTGAGGTACATCAGTCCCTGAACGTCCACTATACCATTAGCTATCTCTACAGGTTGGGGACACTCTACTGGGATGCACTCTGGGACAGGGCTGCTCCAGTATCCATCTGCCTGGCAGGTCACAGACCCCTCCTTCCTCAAAGTAAACCCGTCCATGCAGGAGTAGCTCACCACCGAACCAAAATAGGACGGAGCAGACAACGGTGCCGACGACGGGTCGCCGAATGCCACCTCGGGCGGAGGGCCGCAGAACACCTGCTTGCAGACGGGGAAGGTGTCGTTCCACTCCTGGGCGAGGGTGCAGCGGAGGGTCCGGGCACCGTGGAGAACGTAGCCGTCCTCGCAGGACAGTTCCACGATTCCAGAGTCCAAACTATGTAGAACCAGGTGGTTCTCATCTAGGGGCGGTTCTGGGCACTGGACCGGCGAGCAGCGTGGATGACTCAACTTGTCCCACTTGCCGTACTTCAGACAAGTCCACACAGCGTCGCCGGCTAGCTCATAGCCCTCGTCGCAGACATACTCGATCTTGCGGCCCACCTCAAAGAAGGAGCCGACGGAGCCACGGTATTGGCCGTGCAGGATGCTGGGCGGGGGGTCGCAGGTCAGGATGTGGCAGACGGGCGGGTCGCCGTTGGACCACTGCCGGTTGGCCTGGCACACTCGCTCCGGATGGCCGCTCAGTCGGTAGCCGTCGTCGCATGCGTATGTCACCTTGCTGTTGAAGATGAAATTACCTTTATTCTGTGGGTTGGAACACAAAAGAAGATGTTTTATGAGAGGACACTGTTTTTTAATGAGATGACACAAGATCTCTTGCCAGAAAGAATGTAAGCGATCTTTCTCTATGATCGAATTAGATGGCCAAGCACAGGAATGAGTAGGAACTTTAGTTATTTTGAATCAATCAAAATGTATAATGTTTCTGTTTGTATTGAATACAGTACATGTATTTCTACATCTTGTTACATTGAGCCTTGACATGGATGAGAGGAGGAACAACATACCTGGATGAATCCATTCTTGAGTGACGGGGGGGACGGACAGGAGACAGGCTGGCAGACAGGCAGGACCCCACCCCACTCTCCATTGGCCTTACACGTCCTCCTCTTCTCCCCTCGGATCAGGAAACCCTTATCACAGCTATACGCCACCATCGCGCCAAAACTATAGTTGGTCCCACTCACATACCCCCTCTCGATGCCCCCCGGTTTGGAGCACCGCACCGGCACGCAACCCACAACATACGGCGTGGGCGTCCACTCCCCTCCCATCATGCATTTCAACGTGGCGGTCGTGTTGAGGATGAAGCCCTCTTCGCATTTGTAGCTGAGCTCTGTGTTGCTGGGGTACTTGGGTTTGTTGACTGAATCCAAGATGGCGTGGGGCAGGTCAGGCGGGCGCTGGCAAAAGGTGGCGATGCAGCGAGGGGCCTCCTGGCCTTCGGGGGGCGCCCACACCCCCTGGGCGTTGCAGACCACCTTTAAATAAAATCAAACTTTATTTAACCTTGCATTTAGTATCGCAACACACTTTACTTTAAAACAATAACATGAAAGATTGTTTTATTTTTATGAAGGGCAATAAAAGTGATGAATAACCTTGGAGTTGTTGCTGGCGGTGTAGCCGTCCGTGCAGAAGTAGTTGGCCGTGTCGCCAAACAGCTGGTGGCCGGCGACAGCGACAGCGTGGTCTATGGAAGGGGGAGGGCCACAGGAGCGGGGGACACACTGAGCGGAAGTGGGACTCCATTGGCCTATCGACAGGCACTCTCTGGTCTCTGGTCCAATCAGAGTGTAGCTGTGGGGACACCGAGCCAATCAATGGGGATCAGGGCAGGAAGTAATACATCTAAACAATGTAACAAAAAGTAAAGATGCACAGTCATATACTATTACTACTGTACTTATATAAATACATAAACTACTACTTGAACTTTGACTTGATAATAACTATAACGCTAACATTGAGGTAGTCTTGTGCCTGGCATACTGGCATACAAGGCCTCAATTGAGTTAACATGCTGATAACGTATAACTAATGAAACATGGTTGACAGTATTTACCCTTCTTTGCAGACATAGTGCACCTTGTTGCCCAGGGTGTGGTCGTCCCCCATGGTCACTGCGTCCCGGAGGGCAGGGGGGTCTCCACAGTGGACACTGGCACAGAGAGGGGTAGGGATCCTCCACTCTCCTGACGCCTCGCACACCACCTCCTCAGAGCCCTGCAGTCTTAAAGGCCCAATGCAGCAGTTTTTATATCAATATCAAATCATTTCTGAGTAACAATTAAGTTCCTTGCTGTAATAGATTGTCCGTTAAAATGGGCAAAAAAATGTTTTTCTTTGCAAAAAAAAACATTTCTCAAGGAAGAATTTTGCGAGGAATTTATCACATGGTGATGTCACCATGGAAAGCCGAATCTCCCGCCCATGCAAACCTGCTGATTAGAAAGTCCTGTGTAGATTATAATTTCAACCTGAAATAACACTGATCACATTTTTTCACACTTTTACAGTGTTAATTTGATCAGCTGTTGTACAATATGATATAAAACACAGGAAAAATTGAATTTTGTCTACACTGGGCCTTTAACACATACACTCTGTTATACTCATACACATACACTCACAACACTCACAACACCTTTAAGCAGTATGAAACAACAGCCAATTATTACTATCATATAATTACTAGCTACCACTTTCAAAGTCACTGCATCCAGGCAGGCACTTCAATCTATAGATTAATGAACGTCTTATTATTTTAGATGGAAATGGATCTTGTTATTTTTACTTATTATACATGAACCCCTTATAAGACCTATAAGACCAGGGACTGCTGATCTTAGCCTTTTAGAGCATAATGTATAAGATTATATGGACAGTTGGGGGGACCTGATCCTAGATCAGCACTCCTACTCTGAGATATAAGACCAGAAATGATAACCCAGGACAGACATTCCATCCTTACCTGTATCCCTCTGCACAGGTGTAGATCACTGTAGACAGGTAGGTTTTCCCTTCGAGGGTGAAATCAGCGTTGTCTACATGTGGAGGCTCCCCGCAGGTGACTGGCTGACAGACAGGGGGCGCACTGCTCCACTTCAGATTGGCCTGACACTGGATCTCATAGGGGTCACCTGGGATGAACCCCTTAACGCAGCTGGAGTGGATGAGAGGGACATACTGTATATACATTCATAATGGAGGAATATGGGAGATGTGGCAATGTAAATAGAGGTTTAATTTTAGCAACTATCTATCAGCTTAACTCTCATTATATACATGTGTTTGTTGATATCTTTACTTACTGTAATATACTTAAGCAATGCGACACGAGGGGGTGTGGTATATGGCCAATATACCACGGCTAAGAGCTGTTCTTATGCACGACGCAACGCGGAGTGCCTGGACACAGCCCTTAGCCATGGTATATTGGCCATATATCACAAACCCCCGAGGCGCCTTATTGCTATTATAACCTGGTTACCAACATAATTAGAGCAGTAACATTAAATGTTTTGGCATACCCGTGGTACGGCTGTCGGCCAATCAGCATTCAGGGCTCGAACCATCCAGTTTATAATGTATATTATACACTATACAGCCCTCAAACTCAACTCTGGACCTCGAAACCAGTTCCACTGCATTTTTTCATTGTTCCCCTCTAATCAGGGACTGATTTAGACCTGTGACACCAGGGGTGTGCAATTAATTATCAGGTAGAACAGAAAACCAGCAGGCTCCGGACCTCGTAGGGTAAGAGTTGAGTACCCCTGCTATACGATATCTCAATTGGAAAGAGAAAATAAAGAGAAGCTCTTTTATCTCACTTAACTATTAATACAACATAATTATCTCAATGCAACAGCATTATCTCAATGCAACAGCATTATATCAATGCAACATAATTATCTCAATGCAACAGCAAATTCATACTGTTGTTATGTCTATACGGTCTCCTTTGTCAGTGTGACACTTGTTGTAAATGGCTGACGGTGGTACCTGAAAGTCACCTTGCTTCCAAACGTGAAGTTGGTCCCCTTCATCACAGCGTTCTCTGGGACAGAGGGCCTTCCACAGGAGAGGGCTGGAGAACAACACAATGGTGATCAGTTCTAGTAATGGTCAATTTACTCAAATAAATTCCTTCCAGAAAGTTCTTAGCCTCATTTGATTAAGTGATCTTAATCAAAGATTATGGATGTACTGATAAGATACATGTCTCTCCGCCCTAAAAATGGGAGTCGTTGTCCATCAAACAGCCCGACCGTGCTGCTTTGTGGACACCCATTTTTAGGGCAGATTGATATGTATCTTGTCAGTATATCCATAATACTTTATTAAGATCACTTTATTGGTCAATTGCACACAAGGTCCAACCAAAATCTCAGAAAGGCACGCATACATATACCGTTTTTTTTGGGAGAGGCGCAGGGGGCTGCCACACTGGGCGCCCAGGGAGCTGTTGCTGTGGGGGGTTAAGTGCCTTGCTCAAGGGCACAACGGCAGGCAATGGCATCTAGGATTTGACACCATCAACCCTCTGGTTGCTAGCTTACTTCCTGCTAGATTTTTCCTGTCGGACCCAGGATTCGAAATGGCAACCATTCCGGTTGCTGGCTCGCCTCTCTAACCGCTAGTCTACCTGCCGCCCTATCTATGTCAATGTGTGGGGAGACCAGGCAAGCCAGGCCAGGTCAGTCTTGTGCCTTACTGAGCTGGTTCCCCTAGCCTGGGTTTGTGCTATCATGCCAACCTCTTGTCACACATTGTCATGCCAAACCATGCATGATAGCGCAAACAGACTGGCACTCAGGCTAGGTTCCCCTGCATGGCTTTCATAAGACTGCAAGTGTGGGTTTGGGTTAGATCCAGAGCCAGTGTGCGTTAGGGTTAGATCCAGAGCCAGTGTGGGTTAGGGTTAGATCCAGAGCCAGTGTGGGTTTGGGTTAGATCCAGAGCCAGTGTGCGTTAGGGTTAGATCCAGAGCCAGTGTGGGTTAGGGTTAGATCCAGAGCCAGTGTGGGTTAGGGTTAGATCCAGAGCCAGTGTGGGTTAGGGTTAGATCCAGAGCCAGTGTGGGTTCGGGTTAGATCCAGAGCCAGTGTGGGTTAGGGTTAGATCCAGAGCCCGTGTGGGTTAGGTTTAGATCCAGCGCCAGTGTGGGTTAGGGTTAGATCCAGAGCCAGTGTGGGTTAGGGTTAGATCCAGAGCCAGTGTGGGTTAGGGTTAGATCCAGAGCCAGTGTGGGTTAGGGTTAGATCCAGTGGCCAGCGGCCCAGTCCAGAGGCCTTTCAGCTGGCCCTGCTGACAGTGCAATAGAAAGATTATCTGTTCGAACAGTACAGGGCAGACAAAGAGCCAGCTGCACAGCACATAATCACCCTCCACACACACACACACACACACACACACACACACACACACACACACACACACACACACACACACACACACACACACACACACACACACACACACACACACACACACACACACACGTGCATGTGCACACACGCACACAAACACACAGACACACAAACGCATACACACCTGCATGTGTTTGTGTGAGGGTCAGGATATTTATATGCAAGATGATTATGAGAGCGAGAGACAGAGACAGAGAGAGAGAGAGCGAGAGAGAGAGAGAGACAGAGAGAGAGAGAGAGAGAGAGAGAGACAGAGAGAGAGAGAGAGAGAGAGAGAGAGAGAGAGAGAGAGAGAGAGAGAGAGCGAGAGAGAGAGAGAGAGAGTAGGAGTGTTCAGGATCAAAACAAACAGTTTGCTTTTGTTGCTCGTTACCCAACATCAAGCCTCCATTATAACCGCTGTGACTGAAGGCTTTGGTTAGGCAGATCTGAGAGCTATGAAGGCTTGATGGGCATCATCAGGATAATTGTGTTATTTATAAAGTTGTCTAAGTACCTCATGGATAAGAGGGTAGTGCTAGATTACTCAAATGCAAATGGTCTGTCATGAAACTGGGTATTTCTGGAAACATGAACATATTGTACATAACAATGCTGGATCTCTACTGATAGTGACAACAAAGCATTATGTGAAAACAGGATTATTTTTGTATGTTATGTCAGTGTTATGTTATCATGTTATATCATTTCGTACAATCGGAACAGAATAAAACATACTAAGATGATATAGAAACCCAAGCAGAAAACTTGAGTAGGACATGCGTATATTATTATTTATGATTATATCATGATTATTATATAATTATCATTATTGTTATTATTATTATTATGATTATTATTATCATTATTACTACAGCATATATTACATTACATATAACACATGTTGATGTCCTCTATACCTCTGCAGTACGGGAAAACACCATTCCAGCTTCCTGTCTCCAGGCATTGGACGTGAGATGAGCCAATCAGCTCGTAACCTTCCTCGCAGGTGAACACGACCTCACTTCCCATCAGGAAGTTACTGCCGTCCTTATAGCCGAACTCTGGAGCCCCCGGGTTCTCACACTTCACTGGTTCTAGATTGATAACATAAATACAGAGAAAAAATACCACAAAGGTTTGATACTGTAGCTACTGCACCTTGAAGTGCCAACAGATATGAATAGATTAAAAGATTTGGCAGTGGTGAACTCTAGTTGTTTGATGATGATGAAGCAATAAGGTACGAGAGGCATTGCTATACAGTAGCTAAGGGGTTTTGTAGCTTGTGATATAACTAGGAAGAATGTCATTGTTGGGGAAATTAGATTTTCCTGACCACATGACCTGACCGGGGGAAACTTTGGGCTCAGGTGTGTATGGTCCAGGCCTAGAGTATGTTACAGTATGTGTGTGTTTTACCTGTGCAGTTCTTCCCGTCTCCGCTGTAGGGGTGGATACAGGTGCAGGTGTAGGAGCCATCTGTGTTCTGACAGCTGGCGTGTTCATCACAGTCTGAGCCCAGCGCACACTCATCCACATCTGTATGGACACATACACGTCGTTATACTCTGTGCTGTTTGAAAACATGTATTTATTGACATACACTCTAAATACGGTAGATATACATTAATTATATAATGTAAATAGTATAAGTATGACACCGTTTATGCTCTATATTCATCCAGTGTGTCAGTTTCATCTTACCCAGGCAGGCCGGTGGGTTGCCTCCCCACTTCCCACTGTTGGTACAGAGGACCTTAGCGTCCCCCAGAAGGTAGAACCCTGGGTTACACTGGTACACCACAGAGCTGCCTGCATGGTAGTCGGCACCCTGGAACAGACCATACTCCAGGGGCCAAGGGGGACCACACTTCACTCCTATACAGGTAGATATACACAGGTTACAATGTGAATGTTTTGAATGGCGGTGATACTACGATGGTTATGATAATGGAGATAGTAGGTATTAACCCATATGATACCCCTATAGATAGACAGTACACAGGTCAGATAGGTGGAAATGTTGGGTTCAAATGGTTTTGATGTTTGCTGCTTTTTGATGGTTATCTGCTATTACTGAGGTTATGCTTATTGATATAGATTACTCAAATGTAACCTCTGCTTTGTGTGTGTGTGTGAGTGTGTGTGCTTGCATCCGTGCGTGTGTGTGTGTTTGTCTATGTGCATCCATGTGTGTGTGAGTATGTTTGTGTGTGTCTGTGTCTATGTTCATGCGTGGATGTGTGTGTGTATGCAGTGTAAGTGTCTGTGCATGTGTTACTAAATGCCCCTCACGTTCACAGCGGGGCAGGGCGTGGCTCCACTCTCCCTTGTTGTGACACTGCAGCAGTGGCTCCCCCACCAGGTAGAAGCCGGGATCACAGGACAGCTGTGTCTGAGACCCGGGGCTGACCGCTGGACTGGACGCACGCAGGTGAGGCACTGCATTCTCTAGCTGGGGGCAGTCTGACAAACACAAATGTCATGGAGTAGGAGAATGGAGTGGGTTAACGTTTTCCCTACACACAGATCTAAAATCAGTTTTGTGCCCCCCCTATGGTTAAGGTTAGGACTTGGCCATTGTAAGCTGATCCTAGATCTGTCCCTCACCAGCACAGAAGATGCAGTTGGGGTTAGTCTTGACTCTCCCCACCACCCCATTGAGGAAGTCAGGCCAGGCCAGGACGTTGCCTCTGATGTTTTTCCCTGGGCAGGTGCTGGCTAGGATCTTGATCTACAGAGAAATATGGAGGTCACTTTATGGCACAGAAGTACAGAAAATGATTGGTGGTTCGCACACACATAAAAATAAATGAGACAGAACTTTTTTTTACAGCAGGCAGGGGAAAAGATACACAGGCGTTTAATTTTTTTGCCACAGACGTATCCACATGCTAGTTCAGGGATCTCCAACAGGTCGATCGCAAGCTACCAGTAGCTCACAGCCCACCGATGAATAGCTAGCCAAATAATTCTGAAAGTACATGTCATTTTCACGTGTTCCACCGCAAACTGTCATAAACAAATCTCACAAGTATAAGACACCGCAAGCTCCCAGCTACTGTCTAATTAACATTGACATTATCCCACACATGGTTAGTCACTATTGCCTTAAAAAGCCAAACCTTAATTTCCAGCAATATTGCCCCTGTCTGTTTGGTTTACCATTGTTTATAACTCTGTGTGTAGTCAGTTGATGTGATAACCATCTTGTTGATTGACAGTAATACTTCCCCCCCCCAAAAAAATTTATATAGTGAGTGTGTGTATGCAGTGTAAGTGTCTGTGCATGTGTAACTAAATGCCCCTCACGTTCACAAAGTATATCATTTGTATCTATTATTTTCAAACTTTGCCATGAAATGAGCATCAGCAGTACAGAACCATCACTAGAACGGCACATTAGATGGCACACTCGCTAGATGCTCAATTAAAGGGCCAGATGCTCAATTAAAGGGCCTGATGCTCAATTAAAGGGCCAGATGCGCAATTAAAGGGCCAGATGCGCAATTAAAGGGTCAGATGCGCAATTAAAGGGGAATTACACACACACATATTTTTGGGTTTTGTTTTCTTCCAGACCTAAACAAAATGTATTCTGATGTGATGTACCCCTTTCCTGCAGTCAAATGACCTAGTGGCCTCATGGGTGGAATGTTATTAATTAATAATTAATACAAAATAAAATTTTAAATGCCATAAATCTGGTGTTTCTATATTTATTTATTTGATTTAACCTGGCAAGTCAGTTAAGAACAAATTCTTATTTATGACATTCGCCGCCCTATGGTACTCCCAATCATGGCAGGAGTGTGATACAGCCTGGAATCGAACCAAGGTCTGTAGTGTCGCCTCTAGCACTGAGATGCAGTGCCTTAGACCACTGCACCACTCAGGAGCCCATTCAGTCTTCTGTGATGTATATAAAGTGTCATATTGGGATGCAAACTCAAAATGTAATACATTTCAACTCTATATCTGACATGGTACCGGTGTCTTATTTTTTAAAAGCCTATAACCATGTGTGTGAGGTGTATACTTTTGTTTCAAAGTAGATTTGTTTAAGACTACCAAGAAACACTCTGTGTGACCCTGATTTAGCCAACTGCAGTAAAAGGTTAAGCATTGACATGGACTCAGAACATCCAATTTCGTTGTTTCTCTATAAACAATTGTAATTTTAAGAGTGACAAATAAAACTGAGAACATCATTTGAGAAAATATATACTGTATATAAAAAGAAAATCTTTTAGAGTTTTTTATTAAACACTATTTTACCAGGTATATTGACAGAAACATAGTGCACTACATTATCTTGTACACTAAGGACCTGGGGAAGAGTTGCAGGGGAGAGGAGAAGAGGAGAATGTGCCTATTTGAAACCTAGAAGAAAATTAGTGTTTAATTTCTTAAAAGTAGCTCTCATGCTAATAAAGGTTGGAGAGACAGTTGCTAGTTCATATACTGTAGTTATGTAGCCTGGACGCCAGTCTTTTTCTGCTTGAGACAACTCTTTTGTGTGTCAAGCACGATTATCATGACAATGAAAAACAAGTTGTTCTAAAGCAGAAACAGATCTGGTAACCAGGCTAGTAGCTGTGTTCAGATAGTGATGCACTAGCTACTGTTCTAGTCTGTGAGTGTGTTTCAGGTTGTAAAGCAGTAGGACAGTCTGAATGTGTGTGTGTGTGTGTGTGTGTTTGTTTGTGTCAGTGTGATTTACTTGCTGTGGGTCCAGAACTCTGTCCCAGATGTGGAGCTGGCTGAGGGATCCTACGAAGGACTCCACAGGGTTGAAGCCCTCGCCCCGCTGGTCCTGGTCCTGGCCCAGCACCAATGCCCCTCCACCTGCAGGGAAGGGTCAAGTTTCAGAGGTTAACCACTAGTCTTTGGGTTCTCTGAAATCTGCCTAAAAGTTGTTAACCTCATTGCTATTACTTAATTAAGACCCGTAAAATAGTATCATTCTACTTTTTGATACGCCACGCTTCGCCACACTTAGATACTACTACGCAGCAGGTTACTAGGACTTAATAAGTTACTAAGATGATACAGTACAATGAGCAGGCTGAGGATAGAACTACACCTGGGATGGTGCTGCCCACTGACAGGCCTTTCCCTCCGTCTGAGGGGTTTCCGTTGATATAGACCCTCCAGTCCCCGTCCCAGCTCCGCCATGACACCCCGATGTGGTGCCACTGACCCGTGTTCACTGCCGGGCAGTCTGTAATCCGCTCCTTACCGTTGATGTACAGGACCCACCTGGGAAGGGGGAGGAGGGGCGAGAGAGGGAGAGAGAGAGAGAGAGAGAGAGAGAGAGAGAGAGAGAGAGAGAGAGAGAGAGAGAGAGAGAGAGAGAGAGAGAGAGAATGAGAGAAAGTGTGGACCCCGTGTAGAGTACCTGTGACTAGAGTAACAACTAGTTCCAAATACAGAAATAAACAAATATCCATCCTAGTCACTCTCCCTAGTTGTGCATGAAAATGTACGTTCCCCTGTATGTGTGTGTCAGTACTGACCCGTTGTAGTCTATAAGTAGGAAGGCGTTGTCACTTCCCTCCACGGCGTAGGAGATGGGTGTGCCGTAGTTGGTGGTGTCTGATGACCTCATCCAGAACGTACACGTGATCTCCGTCAGCGCCGGCATCACCCCATCCATCATTACATAACCATGGATACCCGACACCTCGAAGTCCAGGTTGAATGAGGTCGACATCTCTGAAGGGAAGAAAATGTTTAGGCCGGAAATGAGTGAAAAGACATTACAATTATTATGAGAAAGTTTTATGTGTAAATAAGAAGCGCAGTTTCCGAGTCATTGAGGTTAGAAGGAGAGAAATGTTTTGGGCCATAAATGATGTGTCTATGAAAATTGATTTTTAAGTAAAGGAGCAGTTGCTGATTCATAATAAATTGATCCAGGAAAAAGGACCAGACCAGTCCATTATAATAAATTGATCCAGGAAAAAGGACCAGACCAGTCCATCATAATAAATTGATCCAGGAAAAAGGACCAGACCAGTCCATTAGACTGTGAAATCAAACTTGAAGAAAGCAAATTTACTTTGACCCATTTTTCTCCCCAATTTCGTGATATCCAATTGGTAGTTACAGTCTTGTCCCATTGCTGCAACTCCCCTATGGACTCGGGAGAGGCGAAGGTCAAGAGCCATGCATCCTCCGAAACACGACCCTGCCAAGCCGCACTGCTTCTTGACACACTGCTCGCTTAACCCGGAAGCCAGCCGCACCAATGTGTCAGAGAAAACACCATCCAACTGGTGACCAAAGTCAGTTTGCAGGCGCCCAGCCCGCCACAAGGAGTCACTAGAGCGCAACGGGAGAAGGAAATCCCAGCCGGCCAAACCCTCCCCTAACGCAGAAGAAGCTGGGCCAATTGTGCACTGCCTCATAGGTCTCCCGGTCACAGCCAGCTGTCACACAGCCTGGGATAGAACCTGGGTCTGTAGTGACACCTCAAGCACTGTGATGCAGTGACTTAGACCACTGCGCCACTCGGGAGGCCAAAAAAGCAATTTCCTTCCATTAGACAACCAGACTATTGGCTCCAATGCCTCCAATGAATAGTGAAACCTCACATTTACTTTTCTACTTTCTGTGCTCCCGACAAAGGATCCTTTCCTTTGGATCATTTCAGTAAGAAAAATAAACCACTCCTTGTTGAGCAACAGACTCGTTGGTTCCAGCAATATACTTTTTTTTTGGTACTTATTATTTGAATAACTTAAAATTGTACCAACAAGCGGAAGTTGAATTATACATTCAAAATGCATATTTAAAACGAAATTGGTGGTTTCACTTCCTGTACATAGTTTACCTCCATACATTTACTTCCTCGTCTCTGAGACACAAGACTAGACTAGACACCTCGTCTACTAAAACTCCTCCACATCCATTCCTCCCTCTCCTCCACTCATTCCCCTCTGTCTACTCCTCCTCCACGGCGTCTATACCTGTCTCACACCTGCTTCCGTTGAACCCAGGAGGGCAGCGGCAGGTGTAGGAGCCCGGTCCATCTATACAGGTGGCCCCGTTGATACAGAGGTTAGTCTGACACTCATCCACATCCACCTGGCACTGCCTGCCCCGGTAGCCCTCCACACACAGACACCTGGATACGGAGAGAGAAGACTGTCATATAGACCTGCTCAGTGCACTACATACACAATCCTATTCTTTTAAGCCTTACAAATACTGAATAACTCACTGAAGTCCCACCCATCATATTTGATACATACTGTACTTCCAACCACTGTATCTTCCATGTCTACAAATACTTCACTAAATCTCAATAAAAAGTTGGAAAACAATTGAATACATATTTTCCACATAAATAAAACATAAATATGCAAAAGATTATACATAATAGGCTTGTACACCACAGCTTGGTTGGTTGACAGCAGTCGGCTGTTGTTCCTTCTTGTTACCTGAAGTTGTTGACCGCGTCCTGACATGTCCCTCCATTCAGACAGGGGGCGCTGTTACACTCGTCCACGTTGACCTCACAGCGGTAACCAGAGTAGCCCGGGAGGCAGGTGCAGGAGTACCCCCCCATCAGGTCGTCACACACACCCCCGTTCAGACACGGACTGGACAGACACTCGTCTATCTCCAGCTCACAACGAGAACCTAGAAGACAGAAAGGAAAAATATCATATTTATTTCTTTGTTTATTTGTCAGGGACCATGTATAACATGCCATTGCACCAGATTTAGCTAGCCAATTTTCATCTGTAGTCCTTGGGCAGAAAACAATAAACATCTATACAATGCTACAATACACTGAATATAACCAATATTGGGAACACCTTCCTAATATTGAGTTGCACCCCCCCTCCTCACTTTTGCCCTCAGAACAGCCTCAACTTGTTTGGGCATGGACTCTACAAGGTGTCGAAAGCGTTCCACAGGGATGCTGGCCCATGTTGACTCCACATGCTTCCCACAGTTGTGTCAAGTTGGCTGGATGTCCTTTGGGTGGTGGACCATTCTTGATACACACGGGAAACTGTTTAGCGTGAAAAACCCAGCAGCGTTGCAGTTCTTGACACAAACCGGTGCGCCTGACACCTACTACCATACCCTGTTCAAAGGCACTTACATTTTCTGTCTTGCCCATTCACATACACAATCCATTTCTCAATTGTTTCAAAGCTTAAAATGCATTCTTTAACCTGTCTCCTCCCCTTCATCTACACTGATTGAAGTGGATTTAACAAGTGACATCAATAAGGGATCATAGCTTTCACCTGGATTTACCTGGTCAGTCTATGTCATGGAAAAAGCATGTGTTTTTAATGTTTTGTATACTCAGTGTATAACATACTATAAAAATAAATAATGATATATTTATACAGTATATATAGTGTATATATATAGATACACAAATATATAATAATCCAAATATACAACAATAGACAATATAATGATAATTTTACATCAGAGTTTAAATGTCCCTTGTTCCTTCAGGATGTGACATCTTAAAAGTCAGAATGTCTTAATGTTCACATGACTGGTTTGCCTTGAAGCTACTTATAGCAAAGGTACAGCACTCTCTCACACTGGTTGGCAGGGGGTTCCATAATCCAGCTGTCTGGCCAAATTTGGTGGAACTAAACTGAGTGGAGCAGTCCCCTCTGGTTGAAGCTGTTGTCGTATTGTTGATCATAATGCATAACATCATGTTTATGATCATAACGCCTTTTTGCGTGAAAACTGGATAACCCAATTAATTGCATTGCTGGCATTGAATGTTTGCTGCATAAATTATATCTGGTTTTCGTGGATGTTGCAACAGAAAAAATAGGTTTTGCAGGTTTTGCCTTTAGCAGTACTATATTTTAATTTGGCATATTATGATAATTATACATTTAAGTAAATAATTTGCCATGTGATCATTTTACACGTTTTACCTTCTGCAATAGTTGCAGAAGATAAAACGTGTAAAATGAAACATGAATTGCCTCTGCAGTGTATTCATGCAATGTTCATGCAATTATGAATACAGGTAACTGAAGTGTCCAAGGGTCTGGTAGGGAGTCGAGGCAGAGTGATCCCACCTGTGAAGCCATCAGCACAGCTGCAGGTGTACTGGTTGACCTCATCCACACACACTCCCTCGTTCAGACAGGGGGAGGAGCTACATTCGTTCACCTCCGCCTCGCACAGAGAACCTGGGACAGGACAGAGCACCAGCAGTCAGTCACATAGACACGTCTGCCATCAAATAGTACTAAATGCAGCCTTGTTGCCAGACAAAGGAGTTGGCAAAGCAGAAACAGACTCCGGCACCAAGGCAACTAAATGTCTGACAAATCGATGTGTCTGTGTGGAGGACAGTGGATAGTCATGATGTGGAAGACAGTGGACAATCATGATGTGGAGGACAGTGGACAGTCATGATGTGGAGGACAGTGGACAGTCATGATGTGGAGGACAGTGGACAGTCATGATGTGGAGGACAGTGGACAATCATGATGTGGAGGACAGTGGACAATCATGATGTGGAAGACAATGGACAGTCATGATGTGGAGGACAGTGGACAGTCATGATGTGGAAGACAATGGACAGTCATGATGTGGAGGGACAGTGGACGTCATGATGTGGAGGACAGTGGACAGTCATGATGTGGAGGACAGTGGACAGTCATGATGTGGAGGACAGTGGACAGTCATGATGTGGAGGACAGTGGACAGTCATGATGTGGAGGACAGTGGACAGTCATGATGTGGAGGACAGTGGACAGTCATGATGTGGAGGACAGTGGACAGTCATGATGTGGAGGACAGTGGACAGTCATGATGTGGAGGACAGTGGACAGTCATGATGTGGAGGACAGTGTGTGGTTGTTGTGACGTCTCCATACCTACAAAGCCAGGTATACACTGACAGAGGAAGTCTCCCATGCCGTCCTTACAGAGACCGTCGTTCTGACATGGTGCCGAGTCACACTCATCTATGTCACTCTCACACTTAGCCCCTAAGGGAGAAACACATTGTCACAGTCATATAAGACAACTAAGCAATAAGGCCCAAGGGGGTGTGGTATATGGACACAGCCCTTAGCCATGGTATATTGGCCATATATTACAAACCCCCGAGGTGCCTTATTGCTATTATAAACTGGTTACCAACGTAATTAGAGCAGTAAAAATAAATGTTTCTTCATACCAGTGGTATGGTGTGATATACCACTTCTGTCAGCCAATCAGCATTCAGGGCTCGAACCACCCAGTTTATAAATAATAATAACTTGTCATTGCTCTGATGATCATTGATCGAAAGCTTAAGTGTGTGTATCCGGTCTGAAATGGCTAGCTATAAGTGTGTGTGTAACCGGTCTGAAATGGCTAGCTATAAGTGTGTGTGTATCCGGTCTGAAATGGCTAGCTATAAGTGTGTGTGTATCCGGTCTGAAATGGCTAGCTATAAGTGTGTGTGTATCCGGTCTGAAATGGCTAGCTATAAGTGTGTGTGTATCCGGTCTGACATGGCTAGCTATAAGTGTGTGTGTAACCGGTCTGAAATGGCTAGCTATAAGTGTGTGTGTATCCGGTCTGAAATGGCTAGCTATAAGTGTGTGTGTATCCGGTCTGAAATGGCTAGCTATAAGTGTGTGTGTAACCGGTCTGACATGGCTAGCTATAAGTGTGTGTGTATCCGGTCTGAAATGGCTAGCTATAAGTGTGTGTGTA